TGTTTTAGTAATGATTATGCAATAAATATAAATTAAATTTGCAGAATAAACATGAAATAAAAGGAAAGTTTTTAATTCTTAAATAATTACATGTTCTTTGATTAATAGGTAAATAATAAAAATCAAAAGGATACATAAAACTAAAATAAACAAATTGAAGTATCACAAAAAAAAAAAGAATAGAAGAAAACTAATTAAGGAATAAATTATCAAAGTTTATTAGAATTTTAGTAAACACCAGTAGTTAAACTGTAAGAATTACTTAATTATGAACCAACAAAATGTTCATCTGTATAAAATGGATTGGTTAAAGCGTATGCAGCTAATACAAATTAAGGCTTAATAAGAAATTATAATGAAGATAGAGTTTCGATTATTTTGAATATACTCAAACCTTAAACTAGAATCAATGAAAATTGGCCAAAATGTTCATTTTTCGGAGTATATGATGGACATGCAGGTTCAGGTTGTGTTGATTTTTTAAGAGATAATTTACATTAATACATATCCAAATAAAAAGAATTTCCTTGGAATCCAATAGCTGCAATTAAAAAAGGATTGGAAGCAGCTGAAAAAGATTTTTTATCCTATGCTCTTGAATAATATAGTAAGAATTAAGTAGAAAGAAGTGGATCTTGTGCTATTATTAGCCTTATTGTAGGTGATTATTGTTATGTTGCAAATGTTGGAGATTGTAGAGCTATCTTAAGTTCTGAAAAAGGGAAAAAGTACTTTGATTTATCAATTGATCATAAACCATAGAATGAGACAATAAGAATTTAATAAGGGGGAGGTTAAATCTATTAAACAAGTATAACGAATGATAAAGGTATTCAAATTTAAGGACCATTAAGAGTATTTCCTGGTAGATTATCTGTTTCTAGAGCATTTGGAGATATAGAGGCTAAAAATGAATAATTTGGAGGAAATCCTAATGTAGTTATAGCTTAACCTGATATAAAAATATTTCGTATTACTAATTAACATGATTTCATAGTATTAGGATGTAAAATAAAAAAAATATATTATAGGTGATGGAATTTTTGATAAAATGGATTCATAAGAAGTTATTGATAAAATATGGAATGATTTGAAAAAAAACAAAGATAATTAAAATCTACATGCTTAAATTTCTTCAGCTGTTGATGCTGTATTAAAAGAAGTTGTTATCAGAAAGAGTAGTGATAATATAACTTTACTTATTGTTGCTTTTAATGAACTAATTTAACATCAATAAAAAAATACCTATATCAAATCTAATTCAATTTCTAGTCATATTGAACTATTATAATCATATTTAAAGAAAGAATAAGACAATACTGAAAATACTAGAGATATTAATCATAAAAAAGTTAATTATTTTAATCAATCTCAATCATTATTTAATAGAGTATTAACATAACAATATCCTTAATAAGCTAAATAAGATGAAAGTTTTAATAAAGTAAGATTAAGTTTTAACATGTGATTATAAGTTTCATATTTTTTATATAATAAACTAAAAGAATATATTTTAAGATTTTAATCTTATAATTGAAAATTCAAATAGATTATTTTAATTATTTCATATCAAATTATTTTTTCAAATAAATGAATAAAAATTGTTAAGATTTATATATTTTATCAATTCACAATAAATATAGTTTCATTAAATCATTATTCTGATATTTTTTATAGTATTTGAAGTTGTCCATTAGAACCAGGTACAGATTCTGAGGAAAACAAAGTCACACATTATGAAAATGTTATTTATTAATGACTATAAGGATCTATAATATTCAAATATTTTTAAATGTCAAGATCTTCTGCTCCAAAATTTAAAATATCAATCAAATTTCTAAATTCGTTCTATTTAAATTATACTATATTATTTACTTCATCAATAATTCCATTAGCATCTGTATCCATTTATTTAAAAGTCATAATAAATTTCTTCAAATATTTTTCATGTGATTTTAGTTAGAAATCTAATATTATTTTCTGAAACACTGAATATTCTAATTTATATTTATCTTTTTCTTAAAGCAATTATAATTATTCTTCCCTTGTTAATCTTCTATCTGGATTTTTCTGAGGTACAATATAATATGATTTTAATTTGTTTAGCAGTAATTCAGAATCTTCTTAATTGTACATATATTTGATAATATCTACAGCTTCCTCTTCATAAAGTTACCCATTTATCCTTTAATTGAGCATTTCCTTAATTTCTGCTTAATGTTTCAATGGAAATTTCCCTCTTAAATACATCTATAATTTTATTATAATAAATACTTTTAATAATTCTTGCATAGTATTTTTTACTTAGGTTTAAACAAATCGAAATTCTTCATCACATTCATTTCTAAGGATTTTACCAAATACAGCCACATCATTATCTTCTGCTGAATATTTTTTAAGTGCATTTATTATAGATGTTGCCCATTCTATAATAAGACTTTTAAGTCCATATTTCTAATTTAGATAAGTATACATATGTTATTCCATAGTTTCTCTAGGTAATTTAGAATCAGCACATTTTTAATCAAATTTTTGTTTACTTTCGTAAATTTCATTAATAACATCTTTTAATTGCTTCAATGTTAAGTGTCTAACATTTATTTATTAAGGTACTGAATTAAGATTTTAAGATTATTTTGATTAAAATATAGCATTATTTTATTGAATAGAGGATGATTAATTTTTTGAATAATTTTAAGATTGATAAGAGTCATTTTATTATTTTAGTATATGTTCAGAATTAGGCAATGATGCCCTATCACCTTTTGAATGTTTTATGAGTAAATCTAAATATCTTTTATTTTCTTTTTCTAATTCAACATTTTATTATTAAAGTTCAGATAATTCTAATCTTAATCTATTTTCAATTGTTTTATCTCCTTATTGTGATTGATTTACTTATTTTTTATTATCATTAATTAAAGATTAATTTTTAGACTATGGTTTGAAATTTGAAATCACATTAGACATATCATTAAATATTTACAAATGCATATCATGAATTTTAGTAATTATTACATCTAATTTTTTATCATTTACTTTGAAATATTTAATTATTGATTTAAAGCAGATTTCATATAAGTTAAATTTTGCCTAAGATTATAATGATGATTTACTGTTAAAATATAAAGATTGGTTAAATGATCAGGATTGTTTTATTTTAATTTAGATTATAGATCAAGCATTATAGTTCGTATTTATTGATCAAATTATTTATCTTCTTAATCTTCCTTCTTATATTCTCTAATGCTATCATATAATATCTAAAACTATTCATTATTAAAATACAGCCATCTATTCAAGATCATATTGTTAAAGTGTAATATCTTAAACTGCACTAATGGATCTCTCAGATTATTACTCACTTTATTATTCTAAGGTTTCATCACCTCCATCCTAATCTCCATTCACTTTTTGAGAATTCAAAATTTGGAGATTCGTAAGGCATTCTAAAATATACTGTTCCTCCTCTTTTGATTATAATGTAATCTCAAGATGAATCAAATTAGGCATTGTTGATAAAGCATCTACTACTTAGCCTAACTAAAATAATTGTATATATGTAGATTTACATCAGAGAATATATTATTAGAAATATCAAGAACTTCAACAGTGTCTAGCAAACTTAAATCATCAGGCAAGTAAGCCAAACGATTTCCATGTAAATTGAGCTAGTTATATCATTTAGAAATTACTTCTTTTAAATTGCTAAAATTTGCTAATTATGGTAATAATTCCTCTAAATTTTCAATTTATCTATTGATATAGATATCAAATGATACTTAAATTCTAGATCTATAATTGTTACATTAGTTCCTTAAGTTTTTATTATATGTTATAAGACTTCCATTAGAATAATTGAATTTTGAAATAAATTTTTAATTATAATTTTAATCAGAATTGATATCATATTAGATAAAAGGAATTCATTTATAATCATTCAAAAAGAATATATATAATCTCAACAAATTTTAGTTTTAACTTAACTGATTTAAGTTAATACTAAATTTAAAGTTGTTATTAAATAAATTCTTAACATTATTAATTAATAGCTATTAGTTTAAAATAATATCATAATAATAATTTATATATATTTTAAAAGGAAGTTTAGATAAAATAATTAATTATTAAAGTACTTATAATAAAACTAAATACTTTTATAATTAGAAGAATAATAAAAATATTTTAGTAGAGTTTTTAAATCTATTATATATATATGTAATTAATTTTAGAATTTATTCATAAAAATAAAAAAATTGAGTTCAAAATCTTATATCTAATAATGATCAATTTAACTATTGATATGGAAATTAATTTAATCTTTTAATAGATTGAGGACTAATAAATTTAGCTACAAAATATAAAAATCTTTTAATCAGTATATAAAAATAATTTAAGATATTATTGTAACAGAACATATAATTTTAGATTACTTATATATTAGATTAATATTAAATTAATAGAAATTATTATTTAATGTATTTATTGATGAAATATTAGAATTTAAAATAACTATAATTGGATTTAAGATTCTTAATAAATGAATAAGTAAATGACAATTTCTATATTTTTATAAGCATTTCTATTCAGATTAATTTTGGAATATGAAATAATTATGATTTTGATAATGATTTTGGTTGAATATGTTTGAATAATATCAGATAATGTCATCGTGATAATTTCTATATCTTGTTAGACGAACAGAATTTTCAGCATAAGCAAATTAATGGGTATTGTATGTGGCTATAATAGTTTATGATAGTTATACTTAAAAATGGGATTAGACTTGAAGCTGCAAATATTGTTCTGGCTGTGAAATTATAAATGTGTTGGACTGTTTAAAAACTCTATAAACCAAACACAAAATTCCAAGGCCATGTTACAAGTTTTCTTACTGAATTTCTTTAATCAATAAAATCGAGTGTTCTTTCTGACATTTATACTTTTGATATTTATATTATTAATTGATTAGATTTTATTTTTTAATTTTATATAAAATTATTAAACATGGGTATCTGTAGATCTGAACCTTTGCCAGGAGGTTTTTAATAATAAGAGGGAAAGCCTGAAGATGTTAAATCAGGTCTAGAAGAAAATCCACAATAAAATTAAAACCAACAATAAAATGAAAACCTACAAAAAAATGAAAATAATGAAAATGAAGCAGCAGTCAAAATTTAAAGTAGTATTAGAGGAAAGAAAGCAAAATAAGAGTTATAAAAAAAAAAAGAGGAACTGGAGTCAGACAAACCTAAAGATTGGATAGAATATTAATAGTAATTTATAGAGCCTCCTTTGCCTACTCAATTTAAAGATTTAGTCAATTATAAACCAACAAATGAAAATCGAATCCTTCCTCCTTACTTAGGACCAGATGGAAGTGTTTACAATGGATAATGGAATAAAGGAGAAGCAAATGGATTTGGATAAATGTTAAAACCTGATGGAACATATCTAAAAGGATTGTGGAAATATAATATCTTTTCAGAAGGAGGCATTCTTTATCCAAATGGAGATTTTTTTGTAAATCTTATTTTCATAATTTTTTAAGATTGGAAATTCAAAATATGGTCAAAGATTCTTTGCAAATGGTGTAATTTATAAAGGAGAAGCTGATTATGGTATTCCTCATGGATAAGGTGAAGAAACACATCCAAATGGTAACAAAAATCCAGCAATTTATAGATATGGATAAAAAGTGGAATAAGAGATTAGTCAACAGAATCAATGATTTCTTCTTATTTGAATTATAACATAAAATGTTGTCTAAAAATTTTTTTAACGTTTATTCAATTCATTCATTTTAAATAGATTTTATGATCATTTAATATAAGATATGTAAAAGAATAAAGCAATTCTTATTAAAAGGAATTTTTTATTTAATTTAGAAATAAAACAAATTAATAAATAAGATATTGAATAGAATCATTTTTAAATTTGTAAAAACTATGAATCAATTTATCAAAAAATATCATTACCAGAAAACATATTGTCTATTCTTTCCTACTTTATATTCGATATTCCAGATTTTAAAAATATATGATTTAACTGGATCGAGTGACTCTTTGTAAAATTAATATAAATAATAAAATACAAGAAACTATCATAACCTTAATTCTTACTTTATAAAAGAATTAGATGTATGTCAGTACCAGTATTATTTTTAATAATATTGCAGCTTTTTCTCCCCATTCAGGATTATTCTAATCATTACTATCCCACCATGAATGATATTATGATAACCATAGAATATCATAGATTATAGATGCCATTAATCCTAGACCTACAAGTTTTACATGTTCAGGTTCAAATCTATCAAGAAAAACAGTAAACATCAATCCATGACATACTAGCACATCTAAAAATGATGGCTTAGCAGAGCATACAAATAGAGTAATCAAGCCATAAAAAGAAAAGATAGTCATTCCTAAATCTAAATCATAAGGTGCTTATGGGTATTCATCTTCTGGTAAAGAATTTTAATCTGTTTTATTTATCTCTATTTTTGATGTTTATAAAGGATCTGCAGCCACTTCTTCTGGTTTCTTTTATTATAGAAAACTGCTTTCTTATTAGATTGAAGTTTAACCATTCTCATTATTTACTCTGTCCTCTTCTCTATGTCTAAACGGCCTAGTTAGTAAGTCATATTAGTAAGCTACTTGCTTGTTCAATTCTGTTAGTTAATCTATTTTATCACCTGATTATCCAACTTAATTTTGGAGATATTCATACTAATTTTAGGATATCAAAATATTACTCTATTGAGAATGAGTTAAACTTGCATATCTATAAAACATCCAACTTCTTTTCCTAAGGGATCTTTCAATTATAACTTTAAATTTTTAAGCTACTCCTCTAAAGTACTCAATGAAATTTATGCTTATCCCATTAAAGTTGGAAGGGGAGAGTCATTCTATTTGGTGTATAATTAAATAGTTAAAATGTAGATGTTATTAGGAATAGAACTAAATTGATAATTATTAATATATCCTTACAATTCAATTTCTCTATTGAACTCAGGGTTGACTTTATCAAAGTGTTCTATAGGTTTTAACCTCTGAGACTAAGAACCTAAAGCAACTTGAAGATAACAATCAGTGTATGAAATCTTTTTAGAGATATTATTTGCACTATTAATCATTAGATAGATATGTTTGAACTCTGAACTATTGGCTTAATTATTTAGAAAATTCTTACATGTTGCTGACATTTAGGATTAATGCTTTTTCTATTTTTCTCTAAATGTATGAATATCTGACTTTATTTTCTCTAATTTATTGCCTAGTATTATAATTGCACTATGTATAGTTTATGCTAAATCTTGCATGCGATATGTTTGTTCATAATTTTAATTAATCGTTTTATGACATTATGCTAAAATCTAATTAAGTACATCCCTATCCATATCTTTGGTTCCAATCATCTGATCCATTTTCTATTAAATTTCATTCCCAGTAAGTAGTTAATTTTTTAAATAACCAAATCTTTCGAATGTTGTCTCAATATGTTTGAGTGTTATCATCTTTTAATTGAATTATATAATAATAATAATATTGATTGTGTTTATATTAAAGTGACATTTGGATATAAATATGTATTGTATAATTGATAATTATTAATCTATTTTAAATAAGTTTAGATAGAAATAATTTTAATATGTCATCCAAAAAATAATTCTAATAAAATTTAACTATTTTCTCAAATATTAATAAATATATTTTATATATTTAAAGATTATAGAACAAGACTAAAAGTAAATTAATTTAATTTCAATTTTCTTGTTTAACTACTAGTAAGGATTAAAAGTTTATAATATTTTATATTATAGAGATCTTCTTTGCAGAATTTTCTTTAGTTTAAATCATTTCAGGTATTTATGTTATTATGATAATTTTATCAATGTTCTAGTAATTATAATAAATTCTACTTTAATAATGCTTTCAATTCTAGAACCTATTTATTCTTTAAATGCTTTTTCTCTTTTGAAGATATTTTTAAATTATTTGCAAAATAATTCATTGTTTTCTATTAAAAGAGGAGCTAACATCAAAATATGTAAGACTCTTTTGACATGATTAGTTAAATTGATTTCAATTTTTAAGTGAAATTAACTTGTTTTGAATATCTCTTTACTCTTTAAACAATCAAGCATCATTTCTATATTTGAAGCATTACATTCTAAAATATCTTCACATTATTAATCTTTTATTTAAAATTTTGTAAGTGTTAATATTAAATTATTCACTTCAATCAATTAATTATTGAAATGAGAAAGAATCTTAACTATATCATTAACTAAATTTTCTATTAATCCTCTATTTTTATCACATAATAATACAATTAATTTCTAAAATAAAAATAAATTCTTACATTACATGTATCAGGTTTTTCTTTATCACATAATTTTCTAATTTTTTCTATATTTTCATTTAAATCTTAATTATAAATTAAATGATATTCTGAACTATTAAATGCATAACTTTTAAGAATTAAATCGATTTATTTATAAAGTGTTCCTTTTATGAACAATTCTAATTAATTAAATAATTATTCATATTGATTAAGCCTTTAATTTTCCTTTCTTTAAAAGATTTAATCAAATTTATAGAATTAACAACGATAAGGATTAAGTTTTTTAACTTTTTATTTTGAATTTGACCATAAATTAATTGAAGTGTTTTCATTATTCAATTATTCATTATTTTCAAATGTAATTTACTTTTGATTCTTTAATTTAAAATATGGTTAATATGTTTAATCATATTCATTAGTTTTATTATAAAATATACAAAATGTTCTAATTTTTTTCTTTTAACAATAATATTATTCTTATATCAATTATAAACTAAACTATTTGTTTTTTACTTAACCTTAAAGCATATAATTTTATAAATTGTTAGTCTAATTCAATTTTTGATATTTCTCTAATTCTGCATTTATGATTTTTAATTCTTCCTACATTTAATATTAGATTCCTAAAAGATCTCTATATTCTTATTATTATTATTGATAAATTGATTAATCCATCTAATTAATTTTTTTGAATTCTGCAATTAAATACTCTCCCTCCAATATTTACATATTCTAATGATTTGCATTAAAATCACTTTATAATCTATTTAATATTTAATTTCTATCTGCTTATTAATTAATAAAGAGATCAAGCTAACTACTTAAAACAGAATTCATATCCTCCATTATTTTTTATTATTGCAATAAATCATTCTTTTGAATTTAATCATCAATTTATCGATTTAAATTAACTAATAGATTCACTCGTCTTTATATTATACTTAATTCATCTAACTCTTAAACTTATTCTATTAATATTCCTTTTTATTCTTTTTCAATGCTTTTTTTTTAAAATGTCTTTTAAAATTCTTGATGATAAATATTATGTAGAATTGACTTATCAAGCATATCTAATTTTTACACTAAAGCAGCTCTTTTTGATGCATTTTTTCTAGCGCTATCCATTTTATATTTTAATTTAAATTACAATATACAATTGTATAATTTATTAGTAATTTTTATATCTAAATAATATCTCTTATATAGGATTATTTAATCATCAAAAAAAAATAGCATAATAAATTTATAACAATTTTATTGATCTTAAATTAATGGATAATGTATAATATATATAATAAAAAGTAGAAAAGTATAAGATAATTGAATTAACTCTATATATATATTATATTGATGAAAACTTCTTTATAAAATATAAATTAAATTTAACGACTAGTCATTATATTATTAATTAAAATATATGCACTTAGAAATACATCCATAGAATAGTAACTATCGTTAAAATTAAGCTGGTTTACAAAGTAAAAGAGAGACTTCTTCTAAATTATCTTAACATTAATCTCCTATAATTCCTATTTGTTTAAAGTAGAGTAGTAATAGAGAAAATGAAGTTCCTTAAGAATTTGATGGAGAGAAAAGCATTTATAAAAGTTTTATAGATGAATATTACAGTGTAAGATCTAATTTTCCCAACTCTCCTTCAGTAAAATTTCAAAAGAAAAAAATATTTGATGATATTCAGATTCCATCTTAAAAAACAAGCTAAATTAAAACAAATTAAATCTTAAATGAGAAATCTTAAACAAATAATTAAGAGATTTATCATACTTATTAATAATTATCATAAAGAGATGCTACTTTAATTTAATAACATCCTTATTTTGAAAACTAAATCAAATCACTTTAAATAGATTCATAATAATAATTTAAATTAGAATGTTTAAAAGATTCAAATAAGGAAAATTAAATAGTTTTTAAAAATAAGTAAATTCTTATAACACTTAAAAGAATAAGTTTAATAAAGAACATATTAAATTGTGAATTGACTTTTTAAAATATAGGTAACATTCCAATTTCTGTTTTAGATGTACTTTATTCAAATGATCAAAGTAATTTATTTATGTAATTATTCTATAGCATTAAGATTATCGAAAGAAAATGATTGTATAAAATCTTTAACTCCAGGTTATGGATAAATTAGTACTATTACAATTGAGATTGTAAATGTTCCTTTTACAATAGTGAATGTATCTCTAGAGTATAATAATCAATTCTTTAAAACTTATTTACCAATTACTATATTAAATTTTATTTAGGATTATCAAACTACTCAATCTCGTTGTGTTAATAATCATAATCATTATAATAAACTAATTATAAATAAAAAAAATTGGAATATTGAGAGTAGAATAATAATTGGTAATATATTAAATTCAGAAGTTGAAATAAGAGTTGAAAATTAGAATAATTAATTAGTGTTGTATTGTCAAAGTGACTTAGAACAATTAAATTGGTAAATTCTAAATACACTTTATGTTTTATTTGATTTATGAATATTGTTATTTCTATTTTATTATTATTATTAAAGGTTGCCATTTTAAAAAGAATTCTTTAATATATTACATATTAAATTGAGTGGAAAATGTTGAATAATTAGTTAATTTAAAAATTAAAAATCACAAACATAATCTTTTGATGCTTTTTTTAATTATTTTTACATTATTAAATAATGTCTTTGCTTTAGTTACTTTGACAATTGATGAGAAATTTTAAGAGACTGAAACCATTTTCAAATTGTTACAATCATAATATCAAGTTTTTTAGAGAATTCAAAACACTACTTTCTTTTTTTAACCTTATTAAATAGATTAAGATAAACATATAACAGTTGAGTATGAACTATATATCTAAATATATAGATTAATTTTTGGGTTTCCTCAAGATGGAGATGTTAATTTAGAGTTTTCAATTACAAAAAATAAACATGATAATACTAGTTCTAAAAATGATGTATTTTATGACTTAAATGGAAAATATTTATCGAAATCATATTAGATGATTCAAATAAATCCATTTACTTTTGATAAGAACGATAAATTTTACATTGATGTAAATATTAGTGATACCAATTTTACAGACTATTAATATTTATTAAAAATTACTAAAACTTAGAATAAGCTTTGTCCAAATTATTGTGGAAATTCATAATCAGGACTATGTAATACAGAAACAGGAATATGTTCATGTTCATCTTAATTTGTAGATTTAGATTGTTCTAAATAAGCTTAACCTTTATCTTTGAAAGAGCCCCTTTAAAATATAATGATAGAAAAAAAAGAATATTTTTATTTTGAAAGAGATTTATTAAACACTAATATAACTTTGAGTTTGGGTTTAATGAATTCCTAATATCAAGGATCTAAAGTTTAAGCCTTTGTTATGTATGAAAACTTTGAATTAGGAGTACCATGTGATCAATTTTTCAATAATTACATTTCTTTTCATAATAAATCTTCTTAATCTTAATAAATAGATTTGACACCATTAATATACGACCAAAATATTTAAAGATTTTAAAGATTATTGATTACTGTCACAACAGAATCACCAGTTCTTATATATCTTTCAGTTAGCATTACTTCTTCAGATAGTAATTTTGATATAGATTCAAGTTTAATTATTGTATACGTCCTAGTTTCAATTGCAATTATATTGTTGTTAATCTGGATTATTGTAATTGTTATCAGGTATAGAAAAAGTTCAAGAATACATAATGAAGTTAATACTGTATCTCATCCTCCTCCAAACAATAATAATAGAAGAAATTAATCTTCTTTGGTTTTAAATCTTATAGATCAATATATGCCAAAATTAAAATATTGTGAAATCTTAGAATTTCCAGAATTCTAGGAATTAGAAATTTAGGAAACATGTTCCGTTTGTTTATAAGAATATTAAAAGTAAACACTTTGTAGATTTACTCCATGTCATCATATTTTTCATTTTAATTGTTTAGAATAATGGATAATAAAACATGAAAATTGTCCTCTATGTAGAACAGCCTTAGATTAAAAGTCATTGAAAGAATTGCTCAATTAAAATGTTCTTGACACTTTAAAGAAAAATCAATAATAAAACAAAAAAAAATAACACAATATTGTTATACAAAGTTAATTGTTTTCTAATGCTCACACTGGATTGAGAATGATTGCTAATAATTCAATCGATAACCACTGATTTAATTATGATTTTTATTGAATTAATTAATTTATATTATAAATATATTATTTAAAAATTGATGGGAGATTAATCAAATTGGGAAATCAATGATCATAGTGAAATATATATAATCAAAACAGAATCTATGAAGAAATCATATGAAGGAATTGTAAAAAAGCTATAAAAAGAAAGAGTAAAATATGTTAAATAATAATAATAATCCAATCAAGAACATCAATAAGAAAATCCTATTTCAGATCTTATTTAATAATTCTCACTTTTAAAATAAGAATTTATCATGAGATATTAAACAAAAGTATCATCTCAAAGAGGTTAAGTAAAGCTAAAGAAAAGAGTAGAATTAGTTTAAGAATAGCTAAAAAATTAATAATAATAATAATAATAATAATAATTAAATTAATTAAGAAAAATGACTTGAAATTAAATTTATTACATGATTTTAAAGTAATCTAAACTATCAATTTATATATTTCATATGTATATGTGTTTATGATCTTTGTCTTGAAGGTAAAGGTTAATTTAATTTTCTAACAGAAGAATAATTCTACTAACTGTTCTATTATTTTTATTAACTAGTTGTTCTCTAATTATTTATTAAAGCTTAGTTATTTTCTTTATTATTATTATAATGTATAGAGTTATCTCTATGACCAACTAAAGCTCTTACACTAATAACATCTTTATGAGGTTAACCTTCATTCATTATTTAACTTTATTATAAATTTCGCGCTTTTTAATCTGAACCTTATAAAGTTGTACTAGACTTTTGTAATGTGTTTTAAGAAGGTTATTAGAAGTATTTTTATGATTACTTTTACATTGATTAAATTTAATAATTGAGAGTGTCAAAATTTTGTTTAATTTTTTATAAGCCATCTATTTATTTAAGTAATTTAACTAATTCAATTTTAGATATTAGATAGAAATCAAATTGATCTGAATTATCAACTGATCCTTAAAAATAACCTACTTTTTAATCAAATATATTAGTATGATCAGTAAAAAAAGATTATATATTTGGAATTGACATTTCTTCTGTTTTTAGATTGAGTGTATTTTATTCTTCCTGATTGGGACTAAATGATAAGTATATTTGATCTATTGGCTCCATTTAATATTTTCTAAAATCTATCTATTTCTCGTTATTATTCAGTTAAAACATTTATTAATATTTAATTAATAAAATGAAAATAATAGTTGATTTTGGTGGTGGATTGGATGTTTGTTTTGAAAATAAAAAAGAGCTTACTTTAGAATTTGAAGAATAATAAATTAAAATGACAGATGTAATAACAAGATTGAAAACACTTTGTAATCCAAAGAAATTGGACTTCTTCTATACCTAATAGCTTAGACCAGGAATTCTAGTTTTAATAAATGATGCTGATTGGGAATTAGAAGATAAAGAAGAAGCACAATTATAACATAATGATAGAGTTAGCTTTATTTCAACATTACATGGTGGTTGATTGACAGAAATTTCATATACATTATATTAAAATTCTTTCATTAATTAAAACAAAGATTAATTCACATTTTGATTTTTGTTTATGATTTCTTAGATCCATATATGAATCGATTCATCTTCTCTTTTTTTTACATTTAATGATTCAATTATTTAGTTAATGATATTTTCTCTTTTTAAAATAATTCATTTTCTTTTTAATATATAGATATCTCAGATTATAGATTTTTTATTTCTTTTTTCAAAGCTTCACAATTATCCTTACTTTATATGTATTTAATTCTATCAATTAAATTATCTATTACTTTAACTCTTCCTATTACTACTATTCATATTATAATTTCTTTAACCATATGAATTCAATATCCTTTTAACTATTTTATAATTGTTATATTTATTAATGCATAGATTAAATTTATTCATTTTTACCTACTAATTTTTAGTTAAATTCTTCTATTTAAAAAGCACAATCATTTTTCAATATTGTTATATTTTTTTCAAATTCTTATTATAGTTCTTTCTTCAAATTAATCTGTTTATTTTCAGCATCAATTTAAATTTATTCTTCTGTAAACTTTCTTCTTTCAATTTCAGCTCTTAATTGAGATATTGTTTATTATGCTTCTTATTATTTTATTTAATGAACATTTCTTGTAAAATATATAATAGTATTACCTTAACTCATCTAATTTTGATTAAAGAGAATTATTAAATTGAGTTTCACTATCAATTTAAGAGACATATTATGCTATTTTATCATCATAAGATTTTCTCAATTTATTTATTTCATAAATTTATTCTTCTTATTTTTTAAAAATCTCATCTTGTGCTTTAATCTATTAATCTCTCATCTTTGATATGTTTTCTTTATGTTTATTCTCAATATTCTCTATATGTTATTTCAATACATTAATAGTATTCTCCTATTCTTACAATTTTATTTTATATTTTAGTTCTATAGACTTAATTTAATTATTATTTAATTATTCATCATTATTGTTTAAATAATTAGTATTTTCTTCATTTTTTTAAATTCTAGATCTCAAAATAGAACTCGAATGAGGTGTAGATTCTTATTATTTTTCAGGAGTCACTGATTTTGTTTTTTCTTCATTTATAACCATTTGATCATAAGGAATTATTTATTTTTAATGATCTTATTCAATATGCAAAGCAGAATCACAATGATAACATAATTTTGTTACTTCATTTTTATTACAATCAAAACATTTGAGAGTTGCAGGTTTGATATTACAATTGAAACATCTAACGAATTTCCTTTAATTTTGATTCATATTTTTTATAATAAAACAAAAATTCAAAACATTGAGCATTCAATTCCATTTGGATTAAACTCATCATCATCATTTTCTTCTATTCTTATTTAGTGCTTTTCAAAATCATCAAATTTAAATTCTTATAAATTTATACTATTTTAGGTTTAAAACATGGTTCTGGTAATATCTCAAAATGATATTTGAATTTACTTAGGCTAATTTCTGAGTAATATCTTAATATAATTCTTTAGGAAACTAAATGTAAATTTAAACATATAAGTCACAAAAATGAAGCTCATCTTTAAATACTTAATTTGATTTGATTGCTTTGTCTGTTGTAATTTTACAGTACTTATTTCAATAAATCTATTTAAATTTAAGAATTTTTATGATAAGCTCCTAAAGCTACATCTTTAAGGGCTATTTTATGTCCTAGATTATAAGGTTCACATTTTTTAATTATTGATTCTTGATATTAAATTATTTAGGTGATCCTTTATTTTCCAAATTTGTCATAAATTTTCTTTTTTTCAGGATATGATAAAACTTCCTTAGCCTTTTAAATCAATTAGAAATTTGATGAATCTCCTCCTTGTTTATCTGGATAATTTTTTATTTATAAGTATATTTAACAGCAGGAATATCTGATTAAGGAGGTATTTCTAATATTTAATATAGTTCTTTATTATTAACATTTTGGGTGGAAGTTATTCATCAAATTCATCTTCGAAATCTTCATCATGATAAGCAAAATGGCCAAAAACTCCTGGAAAAGGTATTCCAAATATTACTTTTAAAATATAAATTTTATAAATTGTTAGTATAATAATAATAGAATGTATTTCAAAATTTATTATGAGTTGCCATATAATTATTTTATTTTTTTAAAGGAGTACTTGGTTTACAAGGTGACTTTTCATTTGCAACAGCAGATCTAAATGATAATTCATTATATTAACGAATTATTGTATTGAACTAATTTCCTCTAATTTGAGAATCATTCACAAAGTTCATTAATTCTATAAAGAGTTATTACAATTTAGAGGATTAATTAACTAATTAATCATACCTTGCTTATCTTTTGATATCAATTTATTATAAATAATTTAGTTGTTCTCTCATTTAAGTTAATTAGATATCCATTGATTAAGGTTGATTCTCATTCTATATTTTATTCAACAACTCATTGTTTTCTTTGATTATATCTTCAATATTCATTTGTTTCAACCTATCGTTATATTAATTATTATTATAATTTAGTTGGAATATTATAACAAAAATCAGTAATATTAAGGAACTCTGTCTTTATATCCTAATTAGGATTTTGATATCTCTCTTATTTGATGTTATTGATCTGATAATTTAGATCTAAGAAATTCATTATCAGTTTTATGATTTTTATGATCCTCTAATTCATGTCTCATTTCTGTCAACTATAAATATTAGATTATCTATATACTTATCTATTCAAACGTCTAATTTCATTTTCTAATATTTAAACTTTATCCTTATAATCTTCAATTTCTTCTAAATTATCTGTGTGACCACCATTCATTAATTATTATTTATAATACATTATCTCTTATTTAGCTTATTCTAATTCTTAATATAATTATTAATCATTATTGTTTTATTATCCATATTACAACTTAAATATAATAAATAGTATACTTTCAATCGTAAAGTGTTGACTTCAGATTCCTTTTCTTGTAATTATGCTCTCAACATTTAATTTTCATTGACTAATTAATTATCTTATGAAGAGTATCTAAGTCTATCCATTAATTAATCTTTCTCTTATTGTAATAAATAGATTTTTTATTTTAATTAGTTAATTTCTTAAGAATAAACATCTCCATTATTCTTTCTAGATCTCCATTCTTGTACTTCTTATTCTCTAAGGACTAGAAGACTTTTAGCTTAATCAAGTTCTATCATTTTTTCTTTGGCAAATTAATTCATTTAATCCAATTTGTCAGTTAAAACTAAAGCAATTTATTCATTATCTGTTTTCAATTCCTAATTTTCATTGAAATGTTGTTCTTTTAATTTATCTATTTATGAATTCAAGAAATCTATTTCTTAGTTCTTATTATTAATAGTAGATTAAAATGCTTCTCTTTCTTGTTAAAAATATAACAATTTATTGTTTAATTCTGTTTAAGCTATTGTTAATTAATTCTATAAATAAATTTCTTTCTAAGCAGCCTTTTATAATTCTTAAGCTAATCTATCATAACGTTTCATTAAATCTTCAAGGAAAGCCTTAAGTTCAGGTAATGATAATCCATTAAATTAATTTTGATCTTATTATGGTATTTATTAGGGTTCACTTGGTAGAATACGAATGATTTCTGTAGTTGGTACAATTTATTTAGGTTAAACATATTGATTAGGAATAATCTTTTATGAATGTAGTTAAGGTGAAGGCTAAAGTATAATATGAATAATTTACAACTGCTAAATAAGAGGGTTTTGGAGTAATAGATCTAGGTGGAACATTTGAATAGGTGATCATAATTATCGAACTTTATAATAAAAATAAAAATGAATATTATTATTATATAATTTCACTTATTACAAGATATTTCTTAATATAAATTGGGATTACTTATAAACCCGATCATAAAATTCATAAATAAACAGAAGGATCTACTCTATTACAATCTTTGAGATTATAGTTGAAATAGAAACCTTTATATAGTAAATTAATCTTTATTGATTGAATTCTTGTTAGGTTTTTTACTAACAGCAATTTAATTTAACAGATTCATTAAAGAATTCAAATAAAATTAGATGGAAGATAGAGCTCTAAGAACAAATTAAATAATCAATAGATATTAGGATTATTAAACTACAAAATTGGGAACTCCAGGAGACAACCATTATTTGAAGAAAGAAAATTGGAAATAAATTGAAGAGAAAAATAAAAACTAATTTAGAAGTAATGATAAATAAACATAAAATTTTGAATCAAAGACACATTATCAATAGGCTGGTATTAGTTTAAGAGATAAAGAATAATATAATAATAACACAAATCTAAAATAATCATATTATTATGAACAAACTAAACCTTAAACAGCAAATTATTAATAAAGAGATGATAGATAAGATTAACTATAAATTAACATAGAAAATAGACAATATAGAGATTAACAAATTCCACATTCATCTGATAAATATTATTCAAAATAAAGTGGATTACCTTTTTGTAATAGAACTCCAATGGATCCAAGATCAAATTTCAATTCAAAAACTCCATAAGAGAATGACAGTTAAAATAAATTTAAAAGTGAATATTCATATTCAGGTTTCAAGACAGATTTTAAATGGCCAGAATACTAAAGAATGTATCCTGAAATATCAAGTAATAAAAACAACTAATAAGAAAAAACTAATCTAATTTAAAAAGAGCAAACATAAGACTAGAGAGGTTTATTAGATATTGAGTTAAGATTATAATAGAGGAGAGAATAAGCTCAGAAAATAGCAGGATAATAGGATGGAAGACTAAATTATTATTCAAAATCTTTAGAATATTCACAAAGATAATAATAAATAGGATTAGAAAATAGCCAAGTAAGAATGAAATAATTTTAAAATGAACTTCGTAATGAAGTATAAGAAAGATTAAAAGAATAGTCTAATCTATAAGTTAAATAAGATTATAGAAATTTTGAGTTAAATTCATAGAGAAATAAATTTGAAAGAGAATTAGATAATAAATAAAAGAAAAATGATATTCTTGAATTAAATTAATTTGAAGAGAAATTAAATTTAAATGAAAGGAAAAATAACGATTATGATAATTTAAAAAAGGATTATGGAATGAATATTAGAGGATAGCAATTTGATGAATAAACATCATTCTAAACAAGATTTAATGGTGACTCCAAATACTAATAAGTATCAGATTTACCAAAATATCACCTTGGTAAGAGATAAGAATTAGATTCACATCTAAAATATGATGATAAAAGTAAATATATTGATAGATCACTAAAGCATAACAAATCTTAAACTGAAGATATAATTAGATACGATCTTAAATCTGAAGGAAACATATTTAGGGAATCAAATGATAGATTAAGATTTAAAGAAAAATTGAATTATGAAACAAAATAACATTATTAATTCAAGAGAGAAGATAATTATGAGAAAAAATAACATTATCATTTATAGAAAGAAAATGATTAATCTCAAGGGGTTTAAAGAAGGCTTGATTTATATGAAAAATTATAATAATATGACTAGAAAAATAACAAAAAATATTATGATGGTCATGTATTTTAAGTTGAAAAATTATAGAGTAATAATAATTAAAGATAGGAAACAAGGCTTAATGAATATAAATAATCAATTGAACCTACTATTGGATATAGTATTGATAAATATGAGATTAAAAAGCATGATTAAGAAATTTAATAAATAGATAGAATGGAATTTAAAAGATCTTAATTTTAACCTGAAATAAATTAAATTAAAATAGAGTTTGAGAAAAAATATGGTTAGTTCAATCCAGAAACAAGTTTGAAATAATCTGAATTTGATAAAAGAAGAGTTATTGAAGATAAATTTAGGCCTGAACCAATTCAAACAAAAATAGCAGGTGCTCGAGAGTATCTAGGTTAAAAGTATTATTAAAGAGATCCATATAGATATGAATAAAGAAATAGTTATCATGAAGAATCATCTAATCAAGATAGGTTAAAATTAGATAAAGGAAACAATAAAATTAATATTAATAATAAGGCTATTGAAGATATACTTCAAGGGACAGCATTAAACAAATATATTGAAAAAGAGAAGAATTAAAGTAAAATGATGGATAGAGTTGTAAGTTTTACAAGTAGCAAAATTAATTATTAAAAGTCTCCAGTAAATGATAAAGAAGAAAGGTTAGGATATGATAGATTAAATTAATTATAAAGAGGACTTGGAAATGATAGATATACTTTAAATTAATATTCAAAAAGATTACCTTCAGATCAAAATTTATAAAGATGTAATTTTTTAAATTATTTTAGATGGTAATTCTTCTGGTTTAATAGTCAAGCAATTTAAAAATTATGATACAATTGATAGAAGAATTTGATCGATTATTTAAATTCACTTTTTTATTAAAAAATTAATACATTTAAGATTTTTATGGATATTTAAATATTCATATATATTTTGTAAAACATTTAGATATTTTTAGATTTTTGTAAAATCATTAATTATTTAATCAAATTATAAATTCAAAATCACTTCATCTTGATTGATTCATAATATATAAACTGAATAAGTTAAGAAAAGATAATGATTTACTATGTGTTAAGTGAATAAGTTTAATTATTTATATAATTAGTGGCTTAATGATTTAATTAAAAAAAAATAAATCATATATTTAAGCTATTTGATATTATAATCAATTAAGAATTAAAAGCTTCTTTAAACACCAGAGTCTACATGTTTAGTCTTCATTTTCATCATAAAGATTTAATAATAAATGTATTTTGATTTATTTAATTTATTTTAATGTGTATGTTGAATTGAGAATACTCATAGTAGAATCAAATGTATCAAAAGTACAATTTAAAGTAGAAACTTCTCCATTGAACTTTAATTAGAAAGTTAATTCTATTAATTATATTAAGTAATACTTGGATCTTCTTTTGTTTATGATATTTATGAGAGATCAGCATGATTGATTTCATAAAGATTTTCAGTTTCCATTTCTGTAATTGTTTAATCATTAGATTATGGTTTCAAGAATTCATTGAAATCATTTTCTATTGATTCAACTTCTGATTTATCATATTATACTTGTTCTATTACTTCAATTTAAGTAGTTTGTTAATATTTTTATAGTTTTTATAAAGGTTTCTCTTTTTTTTTACTTAAAACCATTTTCCTTTGATTTTGTTTCTTAATTTGCTTTTATTCTTTAAAGCTATCTTATTTTATTATATATGATGTTTATTGAATATTATCATAATAAAAGGATAGTAATTAAAATAGCTGAGCAATTAGTGCAATAAGTGATAAATATATTGTTATCATATTAAATTTTTTAGGCAAGAATAGACTTTAGATAAATATAAAAGATTACTTTAAATCTTATATAATAACAGAAGTTCCTGTTAAAATACTATTAGTCATTAGCAATTTTTGTTTCTTATCTATTAGTATTAATGTAGCTAAACCTGCTATTAAATTAATATACTAAAATGAGTTTTATAATTACCTAATTCGATTAGAATATGGGTGTAAGTCTAGGATGTGACATCATTTGATTAGAATCCCAGAATTCTACTGGTTGATTTTCATAAGTTTAAAGCAAAGCATTTAATGATAAGAATGAAAATATTGATCTCACAGCTGAAATGTTCATTTTTATTAATAAAAATAAGTATTTGAAAACACGATTATAAATTATATGGCTTAATTCATATAAACATTAAAATAAATTATTTGCATTTTTATCAAATTTTTTCATCCTTTTTAATAATTATAATTAAAAACTGATGATCAAAATTCTTTTACAACATTTAAAGTTTAATTGTTTATATAATTATAGAATTCATTGATAATTAATAAAAATGGTTTTAGAAATATATCAATTATATTATAATAATAGAAATCATTAAAATACATAAATTCAATTTTTATAAGAAAATAAAAACCTTAATAAAGTTTATAATAATATTTCTATAAAATAGTTTGTAATATGAAAATGAGATTATTCAAAAATAAATAGATATTCATAATAAAATAGATTTATAATATTCTACTTTTTATAAGTAATTTGGATTAAAGAATATATAATATTTTTGATATTATAAAAAATAAAGTATTTATAAAATATTCATAAATGCAATTTGATAAAAAACATTTGAAAAGTGATAATTGTAATTTTCTTTAAAAATAATTAAATATATGGCAAATTGTATATGTAATGTACTTATTTCATCTTAATCTTCTGGCTTCTCTTTCACATTCCATGAGTTCAAGAGTGTCACCTTTTCTCACTGGTCCCATGACATTTCTAATTAGGGTTCTTTATTGACCAACCAATTGAACCTTAACTTATGTAATGCCACCTCTAGAACCTGCACAATATATAATTAATTGATACCTGTTCTTCCAATGATTTCGATAACTGTGGCTCTTGTTCCTTCTACTCTTTCTTTAGTTGAATCCATAATGAGTTTATCGAATTTTAATTAAATGATTTAATTTATTTTTTGTATATGATGCAAATATTAATAAAGTAAATAAATTGTCACTCTTTATGTTTAGGTGATCTATATGGATTGCTAGGACTTCCTTTTCGATTTACAAATCTTATAGGACTATTCCTATTGACTTACCTAATTTCACTAGGGTCAGAAAATAATTGTTTTCTGCCTTCTCTAATAAATTCTTTGGTTTCGGATTAGGCAGGGAATAAAATGAGTTACTAAAATAAAGAAATGAGTTTCCTACTTATAGTTCTTAGTTCTCTTTGCATAATTTATTATTCTTTTATTCTAAGAAGGTGACTTTGCTTTTCAATTCACTTATGACTTCAGCCGTTTCCTCAGTAGGTAGTGTTTAATTGTTTTTAAGGGGACTTGTTTTTCTCTTCTGTAAAACAGTTTTCAATTATTCTAATTACTCCAATGCTTTTTAGAGTACTACTAATTCGAAAGTAGTTGTCTTAAATATTGCTTAACTATTGTAAGTGTTAATTTTGGTTTATAATTGTTTAATCTATAGATTAGCATTTTCCAATTAAGTTTTAAGCATTTTATTTTCATTTTGGAGTAAATGGATTTTCTAATAGAGTAATTCTAATTCTCCTAATTGTTTAACAGGTGTATAGCTGTTGGAATCTTATATAGGGGAAGATGATTAAAAGGGCATTCTTTAATTAGGAGAATGTGAAGTGTTAGTTTTATTGATTGGAGTTTGATTTGTAAACGGGATATTTGGATATTGTGAAGGTACATTAACTTATTACATTAATTAATTTAACTGTCATATGAAAAAAAATAGCATTTTATCAGTGCCTATTAAGTATTAAAATTAGATATATTAAGTAGAAGTAAGAATTATATATTATATAGATATTTGCATTTGATACACCATTATAAATAGCCTATAGATTTTGTACTTAACAAAATTTAGAATTCAATTTTATATCACCACTTTCAAAATAAATTATATCCTTTGTGTCTATGCTTTTGGATTCTTCTAATATTGATAACACTATTAAAGCATAAATACGGTTACACTTTGATAAATTTATAAATAATGCAAGTATTAGAGAGAGTATTAAAATTGTGGACACTTCTATATAAATTAGAAATGATTGCATTCAAATTACAAAATAATAAGAATCAACAAAAAATAAAGATGAAAATTTCAATTTTTCATTTGATAAAGACAATAATGAAGATAACACATCAAACCTTTAGGATTAATTTCAATTTTCATTTAAAAACAAATTATAAGACATGTTAAATCCAGAAAAAAATCAACCTTCTTCTAGAGGTAGTAGTCGTATAGATCATTATGTTAAGAATAATTCAGTTCATTAGATTGAGAATCTTCAAAAATAGGAGAAATTGAATTAGAAAATAATGAATCGATTAAAAAACAAATCACCTAATAAAAGAATTGGCATTCCTTATTAAGAGTATATGAAAAGACCAAGTGTTTAAATTGATAATTCTAAGGATAGTTTTCATTCAAATCATGGTCTCAGAAATAGGCCTAGTCAATTCATCTCTGTTTAATAAAGTCCTATCTATACACCAGAAAAGTAGGAACAATATACTATTTAAACTTTACCAAAAGGTAGAATAAGTATGGAAAAATCAAAGCAATCTAATTCAAGAAATATCTCACCACAAGAAATTAGTTTCTCTTAATAATAGATAGATTAAAGCATATAATCAGTATAGAATTGAATTAAATTATTTAGTCTATGATAAGTAATGGAACATTATGTAATAGTAGAATTGAACATTAATCTAAGTAAGACAGAATGAAGAGTTTCAAAGATTTGATGAATAAATTGTAATGTATTTCAACTCCTCAAAAGAGTTAAAGAAATTATGAAATTTATATCAAACAATAAAACAATGCATATACAAAAATAGTAAACAACATTTTTAGTGTAAAGTTATTAGGAATAAAAAATTAATGAAATATTTGCTATACTTGATACTAATAAAGATGGTTACATAGATCATGAAGTCAATTTATAATAATTAAGATAATAAATTATAGATTTGTTCGAACCAGTTTGGTTTTAAATATTGTGGAAGAAGATTAAGATTAATAAAAGATAGTTTTAAGATATGATGTAAAAAAGGTAATGATTTAAGTAATTAAGAATTAAGGATCTTGATTAATAAGATATTGGAAAATTTATATTTAATGGAATTAAAAAGTGATAATACAACAGTTTTTATACAAATAAATTATTATTTATTAATTCAAAATTATTTGAATTTCGATGTTACCTGAATTTGGTGAAAGTGATGCAGAAAGATATGAAAAATTAGAAAAAATAGGGAGTGGAACCTATGGAGTTGTATATAAAGCATTAGATAAATTAAATGGATAAATTGTAGCTGTTAAAAAAATGACCTAAGAAGTATTGAAAATCCGCCAAATCATTAGTTAGAGTAGGAAGGTGTGCCTTCAACTGCTATTAGAGAGATCAGTTTACTTAGAGAGCTCAACAATCCACATATCGTTTAATTAAAGGACGTAGTTATTAGAAATAAGAAACTTTAACTAGTCTTTGAATATATGGAAAGAGACCTTAAAGCACTTTTGGATAGTTCTCCAAAAGATCAATCTCTCGATAAAATTACCATTAAAAAAATAATTCATCAAATATTGAAGGGTATTCAAGCCTGTCATCAAAGACGTATTTTGCACAGAGATCTTAAGCCTCAAAATATTTTAATTGATAAATAAGGTATTTTCTTTAAAATAAAATAGGCAATACAAAAATAGCTGATTTTGGTTTAGCAAGACCTTTCCAAGTACCAATTAGACCTTATACTCATGAAGTTGTAACTTTATGGTATAGAGCCCCTGAAGTATTATTGGGAGCTGTTGAATATAGTACTCCAGTAGATATTTGGTCAGTTGGATGCATATTTTATGAATTAATTACTAAAAAAGCACTCTTTACAGGAGATTCAGAAATTGATTAATTATTTAGAATATTTAGAATTCTAGGTACTCCAAATGAAAATACATGGCCGGTACTTATTAAAATTCTATTTATTTAGGGTGTTACTAATTTGAAGGATTATAAAACAACATTTCCTAATTGGAGTCCTCAAGGATTTAAATAATTGTTAAATAGAGATGTAGATTAATTAGCAATTGATTTATTAACAAGAATGCTTAGATTGGATCCTACATAAAGAATTAGTGCTAAATAAGCACTTAATCATGTAAAAAATTTAAATTATCTTAGTAATACTTTTAAGAATTTTAAATCAAACCGATACCAAAAAAATCAGATTATTAATCCTTAATTAAATTTCCATGAATTTATTATATCATATAATTTTATGTCAGAGAGGTCTTTATCTCCAACAGATTATTATGAATTGAAACATGTTAAATCAATCAAAGTCAATTAAACATCTATTAAAAAGAATAGATCAATACATTAAAAAAGTAATCTAGAATTACAACTGGAATTAAATAGATGTAATTTATCATGTGATATTCAAATTGTGGTAAATCTACTGGATTTTCATTAAAAATAAATGGGGAATTGCCACTCAAAGAAACTAGGTATTATTTGACAAATATCTTAGATATTAAAAAAAGCAAAGAATCTTAAAAAAATTAAAAGCTATTGGAAATGCGATTATTTTCATTTATTTATATAAAATGGAAGCTATTAAAAAATGGAAAAAGAAAATGCATCATCTTAAATTATCTAAGAATTTAACAATCCTAAGAAGACCTGCAGTTTTATAATCTGTTAATTAATTACCAAATGCTCAATCTATTAAATAACTTATGAAGTACATTATATCTTTTGAAAGATTGAAATAATATCCTAATTCATCAACTTCCATTCAAGAATTCACTTGAATTATAAAAAGGTGTTACCAATGAGTATTCTCATACAATATATACTCAATAAACTTCTAGTAATCCAAAAGAGCCAAGACCTTTTGATCCATCTCCTGTGAGACCTAAATCTCGTCATTTGATTGAGAATTTAGGTAAGAATCACACTAATTCAAAGGATATGTAAAAAATGGAAATGAGTAATTTTCTGAATAATAGCAATAATAAATGAGTAGAGAATCTTAAATTGAATTAAAGAGATTAGGAAGATCCAAAGCATTTTAGAAAACAGTTGAAATGTGTTCATGTAAATCATAAAATGTATTACAAAACAGTCAAGATGAAGAAGTATTAATGAATGAATCTATGCATAAAATATAATAATCAAATTAAAAAGTAGCAAGAAAAAGTTCAATTTAATTATATTTGGAAAAGATATTCAGAAATGTAGAATGTGTAAATAAAAAAGAAAATAATATTAAACCTTTGAGCATATTTAATGAAGAAATAAATAAATCAAAAAGTAAATATCATTTCAGATCTAATTCTTAATTGTATTTAACTAATTATTAATCTTAATTGGTACCATATTATGAACAAATTAGAACTACAACTAACAGTTCTTATTATAATAATAAAAAGTATAGTATTAAACCATTAGGTATGATTAAAAATAAAAATAAAGTTATTAAAATAAAAAAGTGATTATTATTAGAATAACACATTCTTTTATTATAAAATTTATAAAAATGATAGAAAAAACTAAATTTTAAAAGTTTTTTAAATCTCACCATCATGATATCAATAATATTCTGCTATTTATTATGTTTTAATATTTGAGTCTATAAGTTAGGAAATGAGTTTTATTGATTTCATTTTAAAATTCTTGATAGAAATATAATTATATAAATTTCATTTCATCCCAAGGTTTCTTAGTTATTGTAGGTTAAATAGAGGAACCCATCTTCATCTCTATAGTTCTAGGCTGCTTCTTTCATTTATAATTCAAGAGGGAATTAGGTATTAGTATTTGTATAAAAAATAAAAATAGAGCAATTTTTTGAATTTTCTTATAGCCTTTCTTATAATATTTACAATAGTTTAGTTCCTTTTTATGTTTCATCTATTAAAACTCTATAAAATTATTTAATATATATACTCAGGTCTGTCAAGTAATTTTAAAGTACATTTTGGATGCCTCTCTATAATTAAAGGAATTTTAGTTGGGTGTTTTTATTAATATGTCTAATATTTCTCTTTTCTTTCTTCAAAAGAGTTAATATCCTTGTAAGACAGAATTTAGGATTGCATTTTTATTTTAATAATAATCAACTTTTTGTTTAAATTTCACATAAATATTTATATAGGAAAGTAATATTATATAGAATTTAATAATTAAATGAAATAAATTTTATTAATCTTATTTACATTAAAAATATATAATAATGTCTTAAATTCATAACGATCTTTGTATAAAGAGTATTGATGAATTGAGACAAGTATTTAAGTAAGTTCAAATTCCAACTAAATAACCATAACAATAATAATAGTCTTAACAATAAAGCCCATAAAAAGAAGTCGAAAGAATTATTGAAACTACAGCACCTACTTCTTAACATTAATAATTACATTGTCATCCAATTTGTTTCCCTTCTCATATTTGTCATCCTATTAATTATTAGCCTTTTGTAATAGTCCAAGAGTAACCTATAATAGAAAGGAAATCAAATAAAAAGAAGAAGAAATACGTTAAGGAAGTATAAGAAGAAATTTAAGTTCAAATACCAGTCAAAAAATCTCGATAAAAAATTGAATAACCCAATTTTAATGTATAAAGGGAAGTCGATCTTTTAGAATAGCTTATAAGATAGGTTAAGATTCAAGAATAACCAGCTTAAGTGTTAGAATATCATATTAGTGTTCCTGAATAGGAGAAACCAAAAGATAATACAGAAATGATTGCTATGTTATCAGCATTAAAATAAGAACCAATATAATTACCTAAAGATGATTATCTAAAAATTGAAAATGCTAGATTATAAGAAGAAATTAAAAATACTAAAATATAATATCATGAGTTATCAGTCAAATATGAAGAATTATAAAAAAGAAAGAGAAAAGAAAAAATAGTTAAGGAGATTGAATATAAGGAAATACCAAAAATTATTGAAGTGCCTAGAGATGTTATTAAAGAAGTAGTAAAACCATTTGAAGTTATTAAAGAAGTAATTAAAGAAGTTGAAAAACCATCTTAAATGAATACAAAAGAAATACCAATTTATATACCATAGTATAAGGAAGTCACAGTTAACAAAGAAGTTCCAGTTTATAAAGAAGTTCAAGTGGAAAAAGAAGTAAAAGTGTATAAGGATATTCCTGTATACAAAGATGTCCCTGTATATTATGATGTTCCTGTTTATAGAGATGTTCCTATATATTAAAAAGTACCTGTTTATAAGGAAGTACCAGTTTATTCAGAACCAATAAATGTTTACAGAGAAATTCCAATTATTAAATAGACAGAACGTATTCCAGAAACAATAGTAGAGTATCCAAATTTATCCAGGACAAGAAGAGTGATCTCCCCCAGTTAAAATGGTAGATCATATATACGATCTCCATAATCAAGAATAGAATATTGATTATTAATGAATATTATGATTATTGTAATTATTTAGATGTTAAATTAATAATAATAATATGAGTAAAACACAGTTATTTAAAGAGATGGTCATAATAATAGAAGAAATGAAAAATATCTATGTAATTATTTATTATTAAAACAGAATAGAATATTAACAACAAAATCCTCAAAAATCTTTGATTACCCTTCTATATAAAATAGAAATGAGAAGATAATAAAATATTGCCATTAAATGGTAGATTTAAACCCTAAATAATTCAATCAATATTTCATATCAGAATAATATATAGATGAATTATTGAATAGAATGGATCATGAAAAATTACTAAATATTTCATTGAAGTTTATAGTTAAATATATATATAATAAAGATGATGAACAAAGTTAACAAAATGTTGAAAAACTAAAAAAAATTATTAGAGATATTGATTAGCCAAAAAAGACAAAAATTATTAGATAATCATAATTATTTGATTAAAATTTAAGAAGTATCCATAAATCATCTCAAACTTTAACTAAAGATAAAGAATCACAATCAATCATTAATTTAAATTTTGACATTCATAAATAATCCTCTAAATTATCTTCAATATAATAGGACAATTTAAATACACATAAATTTAATGATAAGATCTCTATAAAAAAAGATAAATAAAAGATGAATAAATTGGATTAATAAAGTTAACTACAAAGTTAAAAATTAAATAATCCATTTTTTAAAATGATATTAAAATGGACTATAATATTAATTTAATAACTACTCCAAAATAAAAGGAATTAAATAATTATATATTAACATTAAATATTAGTATGAATAGTTCAATCAAAGACAGAAAAGGAAAAATGAAAAATAAATCTTTACTTTAATCTAAGTATTTCTAAAAGTTAGAAGATAAAAGATTTCCTAAAAAAGATAATCCATTTACAATGCTTTCTGTTGATTTTATAAAAAAAAGAAAAAAACTCCCGAAAAAATAGAAACTTTTAATTTTATTACAATTTCTTTATAAAATATATATATATTTATTTTAATATTAAAAAAAATGTAGTTAGATTAATTAATAACAACATTTGGTTTGATGAAATACCATTTCTTAAATTATATGCTAGAAAATTCAAAATATCTCGTCCTTCATATATTGCTTTCCTTATTGTATTATTGGGATTGGCTTGTATTATATTTAGAATAGGTAGAGGATTCTTTATAAAAATTATGACATTGATTTATCCATTTATTATGACATTAGAAATCATTGAAACATAAAGTAATATAATGTATTCTGTATATTTTAGATTATAAAAATGTTAAATAATGGTTATCATATTGGATTATTGTTATGATTTGTTCATTTGTTAGATGATTACTTTTATTGGATATTATATTATTTACCTTATTACAATTTCATGAAATTCATATTTTTTGTATTACTTTTTCATCCGAAAACATAGTTTGCAGAACATTTCTATGATGCAGTATAGATATATAATTACATATAATTAGGTATTTCATAAATTTTATGTTAATTATTAAAAATATATATATTCAAGTAAAAGAAATCCCAGTTTCAATTATTGAATTTAAATAACTTTTCATATGCTTTTATTATTAAAAAGTTTTTATAAGTTGATAACAATCTTTATCCAATTATATATTCTTATTAACATTGTAGAAGCATTGATATATGAGGAATGTTATCTTAAACAGATTTGATTGACATTTTGATTGAAAATTCTATTTGTTTTTAACAATCTTCCAAATAAAAATAAAATCTTTCATTTTTATATAAAATAGTCACTATTACATTCATCATTAATCTCGATGAATATATAAACTTATATTTAGAATGACTAAATATAATATTTTTTTATCATACTTATTAATATAAGTTTCTAATTTTATCGATTTTTTATTTGTTCTTAATGCTTATATACTTTTAATATCAACTTTAGGAAATTCAATTACTTTTTTTTTATTCTTTATTTAATCAGTTAAGTATTCACTACTTTATTTAAGAATCCTTAATGCTGTATTATAAGAAATTTGATTCAACTAAATTTTATTTATAAATATTATACTGATGAGTAATTATAAATACATTGTCTAAATTGACATTTCAAATTTATAGTTTTTTAAATTGATCCATCTAATTTTTTATATGAAAAATAGATATTTGTGCTTTATGATTCTTTGAGAGATATGAAACTATATTTCTCAAACATTGAACCATATTCAACTTATTATTACTCAAAAAATATTTCTGCTTAATAATCATCTTCAATAAAAACTTATTTAGAAACTCTAAAATTAACTTAAAATAAAATACCCCAATTATCTTAATATACCTCTATAAGTATCTATTTATAATATATATTTATTGTAATTAGTCATTATGATATTACTATCTTCAATCATTTATTCCCAGAACTATTTAAATAATTAATAGTACATAACACATTATAAATTTATAAGAAATATTTTTGGATAATGCTGCAATTTTTAAGATTTTTTACAATTTTATGCTATCATAAAATGTATCAAATTTGCTTATTGATGGTTTTACACTAACTCTTTCTTTGAATACTACATATATAAATTAAATACATACTTTATACATCATGTGATACTCTTTATGGATGAGATAATTTTCCAAAATATGTTCTTGATGAAGGTTTCTTACTTTCACTTCTCAAAATCTTTTGACTTTATTTCATTTAAGTCTATTATTGATGACCAGTTTGAGATTAGGCTTAAGAACGATAATGATTAAATCCATGAGATTAATCAGATTATTATTAATTCATTAGCATTTATTCATATTGATCTTTAAATTTTTAAATACTAATAGAAGAGATTCCTGATCTCTCACTTAATCTTGATTTTATTGAAAATTAATCATCAATCTGTTACAATTTTTTCTATCTCATAAATTATATGAAATTATTATATCTCTATGGAAATTGATTCAAATACTAATCCAAATTTTCTAAGATATTTCCAGGAATAATCTTATCTAATGTTGATTGATTTAAATGTCCAAATTCATAATCTGACATAACACTTCTAAATTATTTACATAAATTTGGAATATAAATTTGTATTATTAAATCATGATTTAAAGTATTTTAAAATAGAGAAACAATTAAGAAATGCTTACTCAATTTCTTAACTTTTTAAAATATTAATTTTATAGCTTATTTCTATTTTATAAAAAGATTTGTTTTTTCCTTTTATCCTAGATTTTCAATTATCTAATTTACATATTTAAAATTTGAATTTAGAGACAAATGAACCTATTAAGAATTACCATTATATTATAAACTTAGTAAATTTTTTAAGAATAAAGCTTTCTCTTCTACAGAATGATTCAAGATTTAGAATGTCTATAAATCATTATGATTGAGATAAGTTTTAAAAGATGATAATCGTTTTTCAAATGGAAATATTAGAATCTCTAAAATCATTATATCTTCCTCCATTAAATATTAAGTAAATTATAATAAATTCATCCCTTTAAAATTATTTAATTTTGAAACTACTTAAAATTTAGTTATTTTACAATAAGTTCTTAATAAATTCTTAATATGACTTTATTCATTAGCAACTAAATGTTTTAGTAATATTTTATAAATCTCTTAAGTTGAACTTGATTTCAATTCATAATTAAAAATTTATTTTGTTTAATTTTAAAAGCCCAATGTTACAAAGCTTCCATTAGCCTTATATTCTTAAAGGATATAATAATTTAAGACTCTTTATAATTATTAAAATTCACCAATAGTAGGTCTACTTTATTAATGTATGATTTTCTAAAACAATTCTTATAATTTTATTAAGCTTTATGAATTATTTATTTATATAAATTTTGGTTATGAAATTTTGTACATATATAATTCATAGATTTCTTTACCTTTAAAGAATGATTATTTAATTTTAAATATAATTCTTAATTGATTTAAAGGTTTAAAAATAAAAATATAATAATGATCTTTATTTATTTATGAGTTGTCATTAATTAATGATTTTCTTTCAATCCTTTTTGTTATTTTATATTCTGGACACTCATAAAAATTATTATTAATGATTGTTTTATAAGTAAATTCTTATAATTGATTGATTTATTTCATATAATTGAGTTTTGTTATATATGGAATATTTCTATAATATCCCAAATATATTTTTAATATATATATATCAATATTTACAATTTTACTGAATTGTTGTAAGGAATAGCAAATTTAAATAATTTCCTTTTCTTAAAATTAATAAGTATGTAGAATAAAGTGACCAAAATTTTCTGGATTTTCAAAATTAAATGTAAATGTCAGATAATTAATATGCCAGCCTTCTTTATTACGTGTTAAATAAAGAAGTAAAATCTATCTAAAATCATTATATAATTACTTATTGACTCTAATAAGGATTAAAAGGAATGGAATCTTTTAATATTATTTCTCTTTATTTTGGATAATTTTTAAAATAATCATCTATAATAGGTTTTTACTTTTTATTAGTTTTTTTGATAAGATTTGAAGAACTTTAAGAAAATGAAGAAAATGTATTATTCTTTTATCTAATTTAAGGGGAAATAGAAGATCTAGGTGAAGCTTAGGAGAATCCTGATTTTGGTGTAAAACTGGATTCTTCAATGATTTCATCTTAAAATTCTACTTTAAATGATTAAGATCTCAAACCTTACCAGTAATTATAAGGTGACATTCCTCTTGACTATAAAACAGGAGATTATAATTCTATTGCAATAGACAAAGATTTTAATAATTTTTGATTTCTTAAATTAGAATTTTTAATACCAAAATATCTACTACCAACATGAAATGGAGAAAATGTCTTTTTAATTAGATTTCTTCTTTATTCAATTTATCTATATAATTCCACTTAATTTTCAAGAACTTATTCAGAAAATGTAACTCTTCTAAATTTATATCCATTTTCAGTTCTCATATATAGAAAATTATTTAAAAATAATTAGTTTAAATGATTTGATATATTTTAACATCCTTTTTTTAAAATATCTTATCTTAATAATGTTTATTTAGTTTGAATAAATTAAGTTGTAGGTTTAATAGAATTATTATATTGTATACCATGTGATTAAAAATAAACATTTATTAATTGAGAAATGAGTTCTGTACTTGAAAATGTATTTTCAAAATCTTTAGAAATATTTTATATATTTTTTAAATGTAATCTTATATCATATTATTTACCTTTAATTTCAATTGAAATACTTAAAACAAATATAGCATTAGTACCATCAATACTATTACTCCATACTTCTATAATTTATCTATATTTAGGTGTTTCTTTATATAATTTTATTATATCTGGATGGATTTATGTTTTCTTAGTTTTTAATCGTTTGAATATGATCCATGAAAAATTCTTAATTTTCCAAGAGACTGCATTAATTTATTTAATTGGTGAATAAATCATCCATGATTTTAATGAACCTTAATCTATCACCTAACATATATGAAGAATCTATTTAATTCTAGCAATTTTCTCTTCTATTAACATATTTTTAGTTGCACCAACTTCAACTACTAAATTAGAAAAATGTTATTTAGCTGTACTCTTTTTCATTAAATCTTAACTTTTTTATATCTTTTACTTTTATACAAAACTTCTAAAATTCTTTATTATCATTCTTAAGGCATGTTCTTATTAAATTTTATATAATCCATCTAATCTATTATGTAAATATTCATTATCAATTTAATGTTTACTTCTACCAGTACTAGTATTTAAACTATAATAAGATTATCCAATTCTAGGAGAAAAATGAAAGTCTAAATCTTATTATACTCTTTATTAATCAATCTTAAAATAACTTGATTATTCTGACATTTCACATTATATTGATTTAGAATCCAAAATTTTTTATTAAGATTATTCTTTAATATCTATACGTTATTTAGAACTACTTTTCATTAAATTTTATTAATGTAATTTTATTTAACTTCTTTTTAATAAAGTATTCCTATTTTATTATTATTATTAAGATAAACTTGATTATTAATGATGATGTTTTTAAGGAGATGGTTAATTTTTAACTAATTTTTTAGGATGTCTCTATTTACATGATTAAGGTCTTTGTAAAAGTAATTCTTATATATTATTTCCTTCAATTGGTACATCTTAAACAGAATCTAATTTATGAGATCCTCTTAATTCACTTGTAATATTATTCTATCTGAATTAAATTATAGATTTTGAATTTATATTAGAACTTTAAAGAGGAAGAAATAAATTCATTTTTTAATCAGATATTTTAAGTAATGATTCATTACCTTTATATCTAATTCTTTTAGATGGTTCAAAGGTTGATGCTTCAGTTGTTAATTTTTCAATTTCACTTAAATGCATATTTCTACCTTTTTTTTAATGAATTTCTTTTTTGCTTTAATGTTTAAAATATTAAAATTCTAATCCTTGTTTAAAAACTTCAAAATTAGGTATTGATTGTAACTATAAGAATTTAATTTTTCTTTATCTTTATTCTAATTCAGTTTAATAAAACTAACTGATTTTATGATCAGTTCCAAAAAACTATTCTGCTAATTTAGCTGCATATTCAATATGTTCAATTTTATTAGTTTACTTATATAACATGAAATATGTTTTAGCTTTTATTTAATTAATCTTTTCATCATTTGTATCAAGATCCAATAATCCCTCTGCTGTTAAACTTTATTTTAAGTGATATTGGGCTTCAGCTAAAAAAAAATATAATGAGCTTTTTGTAAATTAATCTACTTTTTGTTTGATTCCATTTGGTAGCTTATCAAATTCTTTAATATGATCTCCTATTAAGTAAATAATCTAATCCCATTCCTTGTCCTTTCTATATTATATACAAAGAGGTAAAGATTCTTAAAAGATATGAGTATATTTGTTTATATAATCCTTTGAAGTTAGACTTTTCATTAAACTATTAAATTTATTCATTTTGAAATAAAGTAAGAATATTATAATGAAATTAAACATAAGAATTTCATATAATTTATTTTATAAACTTTCTATATAAACTTTATACAATAATATATCATATTCTATTGCTATCCTTTCAATTACCTTCTAAATTGATGTTTTATCAATTTATTTATGAATTTTATAAGAATGAATAAATTAATCTATATATTTTATTATAAAAAGAATAATTATGTTTATGTATAAATAATTAAATTATTTAATAGTTTCTAATCTTATTTATCCATTTTTATTTATCAACCTTACTATCAATTCAATTAAACTTCGAATTAATTATTTAAGAATAATAATTAATTTATCTACCATTATTACAATGCTAATATATTTTACATAGATATGAATAAAATTAGAAGTTTTTATCATTTATACTGCATACCAATTACAATCTCTTACAATATTATCTAATTTACCTTATGAATTAGATAAATTATATTAATTGTATGAAAAATTGATGCTTTCATATCGTAAAAATAAATTTAATGTTATTTAAATTAAGTTATTTGGACCAAAATTTAGTAATAGATACTTTTTGAAATATTATTTAATTTAGTGTAGAGAATTCTTAATTTATTTAAATTCTCTGAAAAAAATTAGATTTTTTGTTCAAAAATAAATATAGAAGGTGAGATTTTGGCTAAAGAAATAAAAAAAACATAAAATTCAATTTCCTTTTGATTGTGGATTTTCATGTTTATGTTCCACTTGTTCAGTCCTATTAAGTAATTCTAATGATTTTAATAAAATTTAAATTGCTTAAACATAAAGGTATGAAGAGATAAATTGATTAAAAACTGAAAGAAAAAGTGCTTCTTTCTTNTATTCTAATTCAGTTTAATAAAACTAACTGATTTTATGATCAGTTCCAAAAAACTATTCTGCTAATTTAGCTGCATATTCAATATGTTCAATTTTATTAGTTTACTTATATAACATGAAATATGTTTTAGCTTTTATTTAATTAATCTTTTCATCATTTGTATCAAGATCCAATAATCCCTCTGCTGTTAAACTTTATTTTAAGTGATATTGGGCTTCAGCTAAAAAAAAATATAATGAGCTTTTTGTAAATTAATCTACTTTTTGTTTGATTCCATTTGGTAGCTTATCAAATTCTTTAATATGATCTCCTATTAAGTAAATAATCTAATCCCATTCCTTGTCCTTTCTATATTATATACAAAGAGGTAAAGATTCTTAAAAGATATGAGTATATTTGTTTATATAATCCTTTGAAGTTAGACTTTTCATTAAACTATTAAATTTATTCATTTTGAAATAAAGTAAGAATATTATAATGAAATTAAACATAAGAATTTCATATAATTTATTTTATAAACTTTCTATATAAACTTTATACAATAATATATCATATTCTATTGCTATCCTTTCAATTACCTTCTAAATTGATGTTTTATCAATTTATTTATGAATTTTATAAGAATGAATAAATTAATCTATATATTTTATTATAAAAAGAATAATTATGTTTATGTATAAATAATTAAATTATTTAATAGTTTCTAATCTTATTTATCCATTTTTATTTATCAACCTTACTATCAATTCAATTAAACTTCGAATTAATTATTTAAGAATAATAATTAATTTATCTACCATTATTACAATGCTAATATATTTTACATAGATATGAATAAAATTAGAAGTTTTTATCATTTATACTGCATACCAATTACAATCTCTTACAATATTATCTAATTTACCTTATGAATTAGATAAATTATATTAATTGTATGAAAAATTGATGCTTTCATATCGTAAAAATAAATTTAATGTTATTTAAATTAAGTTATTTGGACCAAAATTTAGTAATAGATACTTTTTGAAATATTATTTAATTTAGTGTAGAGAATTCTTAATTTATTTAAATTCTCTGAAAAAAATTAGATTTTTTGTTCAAAAATAAATATAGAAGGTGAGATTTTGGCTAAAGAAATAAAAAAAACATAAAATTCAATTTCCTTTTGATTGTGGATTTTCATGTTTATGTTCCACTTGTTCAGTCCTATTAAGTAATTCTAATGATTTTAATAAAATTTAAATTGCTTAAACATAAAGGTATGAAGAGATAAATTGATTAAAAACTGAAAGAAAAAGTGCTTCTTTCTTGTTAAATTAATTTATGCAAAGAATTGGAAAAATGTTACATTATTAATTTGAGTATTTTGATTTATAAAGTAATGTTATAAATGATCTTTTGTTAAAGTCTTGAAACTTATATTAATATAATTTATATTCAAATGTCTTTCGATAAATTACAACCTGTCATTAAACAAATAGATATGAGTGATGAAATGTAAAGAGAAGTCATTGAAGTATCAAGATAAGCCATAGACAAGAGTTCTACTGTATAGCATTTATAATATGTAGGATTAATAAATTGCATCATATATCAAAGATGAATTAAGAGCAAAATATCATGGAACGTGGCATTGTATTGTAGGAAGAAACTTTGGGTCGTATGTAACTCATGAAACAAAACATTATATATATTTTTACATTGGATAACTGGCCATCATGCTCTTCAAAACAGGATGAATTATATATTATATAACAGAATATAAATATTGGTAATATGAATTACTTGTGTTTACAATCATAAATGCTTAATATTGAGTGAATCTCAAAATATCAGTTTTTTAATTATTATATTATATTTGTAAAAAAGTAAACTATTCTTAATCAAATAGAATCTTGGATGTATTAACTTTATGCTTTTGAATAGAATACGTTTTATTTATTAGGATTTTATATTTTTTCTCTAGATTGTATTTATTAGAAATTTAATTTAACAATGAAATCATCATCTTTTGGCATTAAATTTTTATATTCTTATTAAATTGAATTAAGTGGATTGAATTCTATGCATTTAATTAATTTATTTGTTTAAGAATCAGTATCATCTAACATAAATGTAGGTTATATATCATGATTTTCTAAATCATATTTTTTTAGATTAACTTTTTTATGTATTTGTGATTTTTTCATTATTTTAGCAATTATTGATAAATTTTATTTTTCTAACTCAAAATTTTTAATTTATTATCCTGACTATACTCTTTTACTAGTAGTTCTTGCACTTATTTAAAATTTTTAATCTAAATCATAAGTTTTTTCATTTCGAAAGGAATATGTCTTTCTTGCTGAAAATGTAGTTTAAGGACGAATAAAGTTTGTGTTTTTTGTTTATTAATTATTTGTATTTTATTATTAATAGTCCATATATTTACTTTTTACTTCCATTTAATTTGTTTTCATACCATATTTTTAATTTATACTATTTAATTTTTATTCTAATTCTTTGCTTATTAATTTACATTTCTTAGGTTATTGAATTGTCTTTGGTTAAATTGATTAAGATTTATATTATCTATATATCACTCTATTTTTGAAGTCTTTGATGATTTATTGAATTCTTTATGGTTTATTATCATATTTTTAAGAATTTAAAAATGAACTGTACAAATTATCAAAATTACCAATTTTATCAAATAATCATTCATTATCTTAAGAAATATTTGGTGGATCTATAATATTATGACTTTTATTATTTTATTAGGCAAGATTCTTTATTTTATTCAAAATGTCTTTTATTTTTCCTAAATCCCAACTGCCGCTTATTTTATTACATTTCAAAGTACGTAACATTTCTAATGGATTATGTAAAAAATCCTCAATCATTCCACTTGCTAAACCAAAAGATTTTTGTTTATTAGGACTGTTCTCCAAATTAATATAAGTCAAAGACATAAAAAAATTAAATTAGTAAACAAATACAAATCATACTTACATTCTTCTTTAATCAATTACTAGGATATTTGGTTTTGCTCTATTAGCTATTCTGCTTTTTAAGATTCTCATTTCTTGGTCAACTAAAAATTTATTACATTTTGGTATTTCAAAAGAAAGATTACCTAATTAAATTTAATTGTTAACTAATTATTAATCTCTTATATTAGTAGGTGTATATGTACCATACTAATTAAATAATGTTTTTCTTAATTTTTTCTTGATGGTTGCAGATTCAATAATAGATTGAGCTCTATTGGTGAGTTCATCTAAAAAAATAGATTATCCTTTCTTAATATTTGAAACATTTTTGATTATTTGAGGAGAGTTTCTTTTCTCACATTTAATCCATTATTAAGTAAAATCATTGAAGGTTTTATTTAATATAATTCTTGCTTTATCAAATCTAATTCTTTCTGTATGAGAAGATGTTACAGGTTTTATTGATTATTTAATGGAATTACTTAGATTTTCACTATTTTTAAGTGATGGTAAACCCATTTTTTAATTTTTTGGTGTATTTCTATTTTAATATTCAATGAGTTTTTTATTAATATTTCTTGATCTTAAATTAGATCTTTCTACTATGTCAATTGACTTATATTGATTTCTATAATATTATGCTATTTCATTTTAATCTTGATTCTTATAATTCTCTTCTATTTTTATAGGCTATTAAATTTGTTTTTTATATATGTTTTCAAAGGCAATTATTTTTATTGAATTTAAGATCTATTTGATTTATTCAGTATCATTCTAATAATAACCATGTTCTATTTATCTCAATTATATTTATTCTAGCTCTTTTAGAGGTGAACTCATTATAAGTTAATTAATATTAATATTTTTATTTTACTTAATTATAAAATTGTATCAAAGAGTTTCAAAAGAACTACTCTTATAGATTAAATTGAGTTTTTAAATGTGTAAAGATGAAATAATGTTATTTAATAAATAGTCTTAAATTAATATTGATTATTTTATTTTTGTTATTGAAAACCATTGAATTTTAGAATATTTTTATTACATTTATCTGATAATATGATAATCATTTTCAGATTGAATTCACGAATAATTATATTTCAAATTTTTTGATTAATAAATATAATATCAACTTATTTTATGATATATACATTTTAATAAAATTTAAATTATATTAAATCTCATTTTTATTATAATATTTAGAGATTTTTAAATCGAAAATAGATATAAAATTAATTATGTTTTTGAAATTATTTTGTAAAATGAAAGATTCCTAAAGAGATTTAAATTTATGTATTATAATATCTTCATATATTCAAAAAAGTAACGAGATTATAATATTAAATCCTTATCTTTTAGTTTATGGTTTAAAGAATCTTTTTTCTTTTCAACATATAAGATTAAGATTAAAAAATACTTATTGTTCTCAATTTATTAGCAATAAAATTTTAGAAACACTGTGATTTATGACTAATTTAGTAATATTTTTAATTAATTATTATTTAAATGTTGCTAACCAATGAAACCTGTTAATTTTGTTTTAAGAATAAAAATGAACCTACATGTTGTTGGGTAAAATGTCTTATAGGACTTGCATTAATTGCATTGGCGGTGCTCCTATTTTTGACTATCATTTTTTTTTGGATTGAGTTAGTCTTTATCATTTTTATCCCTGTGTTGTTATTTGCAGCTGGCTTTGGTTTCATTATATGTTCTTGTGAACATAAACCAATAAATTAAGGATAAATTGATGATGACTGAATTATTAATAATCTAGTATTGCTTTGAAAATCAATTATTATTTTACAGAATATCATTAATTCTTATTTGTGATATTCAATTAACTTAAATTAATCTAATCTTCAAGTTGAAATAGATCAATAAGTCTTGCAACTTTTATAAAATATTTTAATTTTCTATAAAGTATATATAATTTTATTAATTTTGGTTTAATTGGGTCTATTATAAATTTTAAATAAAACCAAAAAATTCAAAGAAATATATTGATATTTAACATTTATGTTGAATTTGAGTTTAATTAGATTTGGCAAATAACAATTATCAATTATTGATCTATATTTAATAATAACAATTTTATATTAAATAGATTATATATATTTAACACTATTCATTGATGATAAAATTAATGTTCTAAATCCAAAAATAATATATAGTTTTAATTAAATAAATTATTATTGCTGACACTAAAATAACAATATGTTCTTGAAAACAGTAGAGAAAAATAATATTTGATAAATCAAGTAAAAAACTCAATATCACCTTATATTTTGATAACAAAATTAAGAATTTATTAATAAAAAAATTTAATAATAATGTATAAATGATATTAAATTAAAAAAAACAATTATACAAAAATATTTAGTCAAAATAGTATAACTGTTTTATTGACAAAATATATAAATTAAATTTATAATCAAAAAGATAAATGTGTTCTTTAAATTTTTATTAATATAAATTTTTAATAACAATTATTTGCTCATTTAAAGTATATATATATATATATTGATAATGTATTTGATATACTTAGAAATATAATATTATTTAATATATTTAGATGATTATGATTCAATTTGTAGTGGATATTTGTATTTGTGTATTATTGAAAGTATAATTAAATAAATGTATTAAAATAAAATATTTTGTGCATTATCAAGTATTGCCTTAATATTTTTTTGTGTTAATTTCAGAGCATCTTTACCTGCATTTTATTTAGTAGAATGCTTGATTCTTTTCAAAACAAGTATTTAAGTGAGTTTTAAAAGAAATGATAGAATTTTTAATGAATTAATGCAACATAAAGAGTATTGTGTATTTATAATGATAAAAGGACTCTTTCTCAAAAAGAAAAGTTGATTTTAATAGATAAATCATTTAGAATAAGTAGACTGTATAAATTGAAAGTAATGATAATTGTTGGAATCAACATAATAATATTACTATATTTAGGTGCCAATTTTTATGCACCAGAACTTTTAAAGTCTTTATTAAACAAATATAAAGAGTATACTAATATAATTCAAGAAAGAGTAAAATATTATCCTTCTATTTTTAGATGTAAGATTTAACTCTATTTTAAAATGTCATCTACAACAGCATTTTCTTTTTAATCAGTTTTCCATACATGTCATCAGAATTTACGATATACTCGAAGGTGAATTGGAGTTATTTTCGATTCTTCAATACAATTTCAGCATCATATCGTTATCTTTAAGTACAAGAATTTCAATTAATTCTAGTTCCTAGAAGCAATACTATTGTTGACAGCCTCATTTATGAAACCAACATTAGCAGCATATCCTTTGAATTTGTTTGCATTTATGTTGATTTATGAAATAAGTATACAGGAGCCATTCTTTTTTAAAACTGTATAAATGTATAGTAATTAGCATTCAGATGAAACAAAGCATTAAACATCGAATATTATGCAAGTTATAGATTATGATATAATACTTTTTGATAATAATTTTAGCGTTAGAATATTCTGGATTACCTGAATATGGATTAAATAGTTTTTAAACATTGTTATCTGGATTAAAGACATCATATGATGGTCCTTATTTACTAATATTGGCAATAGCTTATTTTTTAAATATTATAATAGATGTTTTATATAATGTGAGATAATTAAGAGGTTAAGTGAGTATAGCAAGTGATTTATCTAATGATTTTGATTTAGATTTAATAAGTTATTTAGCTTAAAAAGAAAGATAGGAAAGAAGATAGACAGTGGTTGCATTAGTAATTTAAACTTAAGAAAATGTTATACAAGATCAAAAAGAGTCACCATAGAATAATAATTAAATTGAATAGAATGGAGAAGTATAGAGAAATTATATGGAATAGGATTAGGAATAGGAAATGATTGAAGATAATTAAGAAGGGTAAGAAAAAATAAGAAAAAATCATTAATTTTTAATAATAAGAATATTAATTGCAATTTAATAATTATATTGTGTATTTATTATAATGAGATTTCCTTATTTAGGATTTACATTATCAATTTTATGGATATTTTAAAGTTCAATAACTAGAAATCCAGAATAAATAATTTAATTTTTATATTTAATTTATTATCCAACTGCATATTATTAAATAAGAGAATGTGAAAAACTTGATATATTTGATTAATGTTTAATTTGGATTTAAATTATTATATGTTTTGGAACATATAAATTTTATTTAAATAATAAATAATAGATTTAAAATGCACTTAATTCAAAATAATCATTATTTTAGACATATTTTAATTAAGAATAAGAAGAAGAAGCATTTTAGATTGCATAATTAATATGGGCATTTATATTAAGAAATAGTTATTCTATTACATTGGTAATAGTATTTTGGATTAGTTTATTTACAGCTAATATAATTCATACACTATTATTGGTTACAACAATATTATTTATAGTGAGACATGAAAATAAAAATAGATCTCATTAATAACATTCATTTAGACATAGAAATTGGATATGGATGGTTGTTATAATTAATATGATTATATTACTTAAATATGTATATATGTTGGAGATGGTAGTATTTGGAGATTTTGGTTATAATATAATAGAATTATTTGGATTTTAATTTGAATACAATTTACCATTTAATTTAGGATTTAATGATAAAGATTTTGGATCTTTAAGTGTATTTTGGATGCTTGATTGTTTTGTTGTACTTTAATATGAAACATATAAAAGTACAACATATAAATAATTACAGGAGAATTATTAAAAAATGATATCAAAAATTGGTATATTTTCATCAATAAGATAATTGTATAATGTATTGTATATTAAATTTATTTTATGGATTTGTTATTGGATATCTTTATTAATATTAACTTTTTAATCTTTCAATATTATAAATCTATTTTAGATTCTACTATTAATATATATTATAAAGACTCATATTTCAGGAATGATAAATAAGGATATTCAATATAGAAAGATACAAATATGTTGGAGTATATTTTTAATGTAAGTTGGATTTGCTACATTATTTAGATATTTATTTGATTTCTCTTGGTAATTAATTTATATATATTATTTTAAGTTTATAATTATTGTAATCTTAATTAAGAAAGATAACTATTTATGAATATATGTATACACATTAAGTTTTTATTGGATTAAGTAAACGAGTACCATTTTTAATATTTCCAAATCTTGTTTTAGATATTGCAGTTTTATGTTTAGGATATTTAGGTTAAGATTATTTATAATAAATGATATCAATAAATGATTTAACAGTTCATATATAGAGATAAAATAAACATATAAATGAAAATAATGAAATTGAATTAGAAGATTTAAGTAAAAGTCTAAAGGAAAATTTAATCAATTCTAATAATGAATCTTAAATGGAAGATAGATAATCTATAGCAGCAAATTTTGCATATGATTTCTCTATCTAATTGTAATATTATATAATTATATATTAATAGTCCTTTTTTAAATGTGATTTATAAATATGTAAGTTTAGTATTACCAATTACTATTTATATAGTTATTGTTATAACATCAATTAAATATAAGATTTCCTGTAGTATGTTAGTATATTTATTAATTATGTTTTATTACATATACAAAACTAGATCATATTTTATTGACCAATTTTAAAATCATTAAATCACAAGCAAACTCAATGAAAGTATTAAATGAATTTAATTAGAAATTATAAGATGGAAATATATATTTATAACTAAAGTAGAAAAGGAAGGAATGCGTGTTAGAATGGAAGACTCTCTAACATCAAAATATAATACAAATCTTATTTTAACTATTGCAATGATTACCAAAGACATAAAATTAAAATCATTTGAATATAAAAAAGCTTGTTGGGGTGGTACACTTATGTTTAGTTTATTATTTTTATTAATTACATACTTATCTTAATCATTAAAATATTTTGAGGATTATATTGATATAAAAACAATGGTAAATATTAAATATATTTTATTTGCTTTTGGAACTTATAATGATTATCAAAGAGATGATTTGATAGTTAAAGATATATATCCATATTTAATTGCTTTGATAATTGTTATAATTGATGTTAAAGCTTCAGATTTTTTAAATTCTATTGATAATGATGATTAACATTAAGAATAAATTACTAAATCACTATAAATGACTGAATAATATAGAGTTTCTGAGAGAGAATCACTTTAAAATTCTACTTCTTATTTGATTGATAATTTCTATTACAATAAATATCAATTATTAAAGCTGAATTTTTAGAAAGGAGCTATACATTCATCAGAAAGAATGTATATGATAATTTTATTCTTTTTGGCTGCTATTTCTGAAGGTATATTTAGTATTATATATATCCTATTATTTGCATTAGTCTTTTACTCATCAACCAATTCCAAATCTACTATAAATAAGTATTTTATTTTATTTATTTTAAAGAGTGAGTGTATTAGTTGTAATCTTTTAATATGTTAGTTATTTAATAACATTATCATCAGGCTCATCTCCAAGAATATTACCTGAAGAATTTAATAAAACTGAATATTTAATATTCAATTTCTCAAATACAGATTTATTAGATTAATGGGGATTATCTGGAAAAGGAAGAAGTAAAGGTACTTTTATATTTAATTGCATAATAATATTTGCAATTTGGCTATTTTATTATTTCTAAGAAGTATTGAGTATTAAGATGATCTTATTTATTGATTAATGTTACATTAATATGAAATTAAGAAAAAAGGAAAAACATATCTCATCTAAATTTTACATTATTATTAAAAGACTCTATATAATTAGCATTGTTTATTTCATATTATTAGTATAACTTTCAGTTTTATGCTATTATTTATTTATAGTCTACTCAACTAGAATATTAAAAACTATTAATTTAGTTATGTTTCTATTTACTATGTAAATAAATTATTATATATATTTTTAGATTATCATTATATATAATTGAAATATAATTAAAGATTCCAAAGAAATAAACTGAAAAAAGAACTGATATTTATAAAAGAATAATATTTGTTTAAGAAGTAGCTATTCTAATAATATTTACAATCTTATTTGCATAGAAATTATTTAAGGATGAAAATAATACATAAAGTAATATTTCAATAGTAGAAATTTTGATATTTTATTTATTATAATTGGGTAAAGATCTCTTGGAATCTGAATAATATGAAAAGATATCAAAGGATTTCTATGATAATCTTGACACTAGATCAGAAGCTGTTGGATTAGCTATGAGTTTTGAAGCTAATAATAGAAAATTGATGAAATTAATTGAAAGATATAAAGATAGAAATGATTTAAAAGAAAGAATAGATACAATTACTAAAATGATAAATGAATTTAATTAAGATAAGTAAGATTTCTATTTTGAAATAGTCGATAATCTGATTGTTAAGTCATAAATATATAAGATCAATATAATCCAATGGCTGAACCTTTGAAACTTACAATTTACAAATGGATTGAATCTCATAGAAATCGATTCTTATTTGAACCTACTTTATAGATATTCCATTTCATTGCTTGTTCCAATTTATAAGTATTAGAAATTGCAGAACATGAAATTTAATATATTTAGAATCAAGATTTTGAGGCTGTTATATCTTATTTATAAAGTTTTTACAAAGAGGCTACAAAATACATTTCACCTACTTTAAGTAAAGAAAGTTTTATGTAGTAATTCTTATAAAATAAGAAGAGTGTTGGATTTAGTTAAAATAATGAGATTAGATAAATAAAGAAAGATTGGTAAAGTTTAAAAGAGAAGATATCAGAACATGCTTCATCAAATAATTTAACTAGAGAAGATATTTCATAATATATTAATTAATATGATATGATGAGATTTCTTTTAGTAATTGGATAATTTATATTTTCTTTTTGGCATTTCATTTGTTTCATACTATTAATCACATATTATTTTTTAAATCATGGTTTTTTTACTACAATATTACCATTATTAGTATTTGCTTATGGAGCAATTGAAGAATAATAACCAGATAAATTAATGTGGATATTTCCTTTTATTTATTTAAATTTTCTTTGTGCTTTAGAGAAATTAGATGATCTTACTCCATTTTTATAAGATAATTCTTTTTTAGTATTTTTATTTGGTGAAAATTCAGTAGTCTTTTAATTTATAACAATAGTAGCTATAATAATATAAGTAAATATAATGAAAAATATTGGTCTTTATGAGAAATTCATTAATCAATATGAAACTATATATGGTAGTATTTTAAGACATCTTTGTAATGGTACTTTAAATTTGGAAGATGGTATAAAGAGACCAAAATAATAAAAAATAGTAAGATCAAAAAGTTAAGAGAGATTCTAATGTTTAAATACAGCATTATAAGCTTAACGTGTTTCAATATAAATGAATCAAACTTTTACAGTATTATAAAAATTGGAAGATGATTTAATAGATTATTTAACAAGAATAAAATTAATTAAACCTAATTTTTTCTTTAGAGCTTTCAGTAATATGAAACCTGGAAAAGATGTATATCCATTTATGGCTGGTATATAAATAATATTGGCTATTTATATATTTTTATTTTATGATTAAATGAAATCAATGGATTCACCTTCAATTTCAGAATTATTAAAATATAGTTAATTTTCTGGTCATATGGTTGTTGCTTTACTATTTTAAATATTATGTATATTAATAGATAGATATATACTATAATACAAACCTAAATCTGCCTAATATAGTATAATAGATGTATTTTTTAAAAGTGGAAATAACTTAAATTAGAATTAAGCAATGATTCAGTAATTTAATTAATCAAAAGATTAATTAGAACCTGAAGAAGTTAAATAAATTGAAATTTAAATGAGATAAACTGTTGGAGGAGGATAAAAATAAGATGATAATAATCCTCCAATTATTAGAAAGGCAAGATCATTATCATATTCAGAAAAGAAATAAATAGAATAGAAATAAGTAGAATAAGTTGCTTTAAGATACAAATATTATTTTTAGGTAATATTATTAATTTCTATAAATCTATATTTATTGTATTAAATAAGATAAAGTACTTGTAATGTAGCAGGAGAATGTTAATATATTACTTATAATATATTTATGATCCTCTTTTATATGTTAATTTGTTTGTATTTCTTTTTGTCTTCCATTCAAATTAAATATGGGATTAATGATCAAATAGTAAATAAATATATAATTATTATTATTAGGCATAAAATACTTTGATGAAAGGATATAAATTTCATAATTTTGTTATATTTAAGATTTATAAATTAATGCCATTTTTATTTGAATTAAGAACTATATGTGATTGGGCATTTTCAGAAACATCATTAACTTTATTTTAATGGATAAAATTAGAAGAAATACATTCTTTATTATATTTGGCCAAATGTAATTCATATTTCTTTTCTAATAAAAAGGTTGGGGCTAAGATTGCATTTCATACTAAATTTTCATTAGGATTCTTAGTAATTTTAGTATTATTAGCTTTATTATTTGGTCCAATATTTTTATATTCTCCATTAAATCCAACATTTTAGAATGATAATTTAATAGGAGCTAATATAGAAGTTGGTTTGAAAATAAATAAAACAAATTATTTTACATTATTTGTTAATTCACATGTTAGTGATATACATTAGATTAGTGAATATGAGTGGAATGCTAAAAATTTATCATAATATAAATTTTTAAATAATATTGATAAAGAATCATTATAAATAGTTAAATTAACTCATTTTTCAGATACATATTGGGATATTAGTTATCCTAGTTTATATTCATTATCAGAGAATTTAAAAAATGTTATTGATAAGAAAGGTGCATCAACATTTAATTTAATATAAACATATAGATTTATGAGATAATATACAGATTAAACATCATAATTTGTAAGTGATAATTATGAATTGAATATAAATACATTGAAATAGATATATGAATCAATAGTAAGTTGTTAAGAGAATAAATAAATGATGAATCCAATATAATTATAAAATTTTTATCATGATTTTATAAGAATAGATAAAAATAAAGATATTTCTATATTAGATGAAGGATTGATGAATTCAGTAATGATATAATTAAATTGTACAGCAAATGATTAATTTTGGTGGTCAATATATTCAGATTATAAATAATCAGTAGGAATTAAATTCTATATTGTAAGTGATAAATATTCAAGTGCTTTATTAGGATATTCTATATTAGGATTTTATATAACTATAGTATATGTTGCTGGTAAAATGGCAAGAGGGATTATGTCAGGTGGAATAGATTTAATAATGTTATAAGATATGCCATATCCTGATAATTTATTAAAAATTTGTGAAGCAATAATAATGGCAAGAGTAGAAAAGGATTTGATATAAGAAGAATTATTATACTTTTAATTAATAGATGTAATAAGATCACCATAATTGATGCGGAATATATCTGGAAGTTTTGTTGCTTAGAGATTATAGAGATTAGAAATAGATAAATAATTGTAGAAAAAGAAATGATTTTTGTTATTAAATTAAAAAGTATTTAAATATTATTATAGAAAATGAATATAAATTATGTAATTGAATATAGAATATTCATTGATCATTTGGAACTATGATAAATCCTACTGTTATTGAATGTTATAAATTCTATTCTTGAGCATAAATTTCAGTTGGAGCAGCAGCACCATCCATAGAATTCATAGCTAATGATTATTTTGTATACATAGGTCTTGGTGCATATTATTAATCAATGGAAATGCTTTTAATGGAATGGATTTTCATGTCTAAAGACTTTAATGCAATTTCAGCCTATTGAAATTAATAAGTAGACAAACTTTATGTGTTGCATCTTTAATAGCTAATTAAAGAATTTAATCTTTTAATTCTGATTTTTGTTCTGGTTTAACATCAAAAGAAACATTATTGATATTAGTTATTCCTGCATTTATAGCAGCATCAATTAATTTTCCAACGATCTTTAAATTAGAGGTTTCCAATTTTTGACTTATGATTACTTTATAACCTTTGAATTTAAGTTCAGGATTTCCATTATTAGTATAATCATATTCTTAATGAGGATACATCTAAAATTAAGTAGTAGAAATCTTCACTCCTGCATTTGATGTATCAACTGATTACAATGATCTATTTCATTTTTATATAAAATCTACTTAAAGGCTGTTGCTTATATATTATTTGCAGTATTTAATGCAATTTCTGCAAATTCATTTAAAATCTCAATTGCAAAATTGACAGTGACAATAGTTGGTTCAACACTTAGAGAACCTGTTCCTGTAACATAAAAAACATCAGGTCTCCTGTGTTCAACTTCAGAACACTAAAGATAAATTTTATTTAATTATTACTTCTACATTATTGATTGCTGATTAATCTTTGATGAATGATCCAAAAATAAGTGTGATGCAGATAGCAATTGTTAAAATTCTAATCATTATTTATATTAAATATTAATTTCAATTATAATAATTGAAGGACCTCTTAATTACTATAAATAGTGATATTATTTAAAATTCCTTTTATTAAGTGGAAATCAGAAATCTTATCAACTAATTGTTGTTTTAATTTGATTAATTACTAAATATAGTGAAAAACTAAATAATTATATTATTCTTATGATTTCTCATTAATCTATATGATTTATTACAAATCCTACACTAACTTATTAATCCATTTAAGTGTTAATTCCATATCCATAATTTTCTAATATTTGAACAGACTTGACTGATTCAACTCTCATATTCAATTCCTTCAATACAACATTAGCCTAAGATAATTTTAATTTATTACTGTATGTTTAGCATCTTCAATAGCTTATTCAACAAGAACATCTTTCAATCTTTTCTTTTCTTCTTTACTTACATCAAATTGAATTCCATTCACCTTATTTACTTTATGTTTCACTGCTATATCAATAATCCTAATATTTAATACAATATCTTACTTTCCTACATCACTAATATTAAGTGTTTCCACTGTTATCCTATTAATTACAATAAATCCTGAAAATGTCACATAGTAAGGTTAATTCTGACTGTACTCTTTATGTGGTGAAATAGTGAAATCTGCTGTTTGAATCTTCAATTCTCCTTTGCAGTTCTCTTTTATAGCTCTATTCAATTAAGTCTATCATATATACTTGATAGCATCATCAGCTATTGAGGCTGCTTATTGTAAAGCATTCTATGCCTTCTCTTCCTTTACTTCTACTTCCAAAGTTACTACTGCTTAAGTTGGCTCAATATTTGTTGTTGCACTTCCTTATACATAATAGATGTCTGGTCGTAAGTAGATATTAGCATCACACTTTGATAAATTAAATCAACTCTATTACCAAATTTAGAGTGGATGTCTTAATAAATTAAGAGTTCAATGTCATTAATGTAATAGATAATACTAGTATTGCTTTCATTTATTTATATAATGAATAATAATTAAACTTCTCATTAAATTTAATCTTCTAAAAATGGTAAGAAATCTTTCTCAATTCTTTATAAACTAAACAAAGAAATAATAAAATACTCAAAAATAATATTATATAAATTAGGTATGGAAATTCCATGAATAGAATGTCTAATGTTGATAAAGAAAATTATATTGATTAGAGATTAAAAATTAAAAAAGATAATAATCTACTTAAATGTAAACTAAAGTCATAACTTATGTATTATCAGGTATAATTATTATAACTCATATTATGTAAAGTTTAATTTGGACTTTATTAAATGGGTTCTGAGACATAATAATTTTTAGTGAATAGGAATTCTAATATATAAAAAATCAAGTATTAAATTTATGTATATGAATAATATTAAATTTAGGATTTTTTTGAAATATTAAAATGAAGGATATTAAAATATCAAAGTAAACTAAAGAGTGTATGAAAGCTATGCTATTTAAATAAAATAGTCAAATACCTAATTTTTTTTTAATAGATTAATTGATTTTCTGTGATTATGTGTGAAATTTATTTAATATTATAAAATTTATATGAAAAATTACTTTGTAATAAATTGATTAAGATAAAAATTGTATCTTATTTGAATTAAGATTAAATGATGAATAAATGTAATTAAGAAATAATAATAATTAAAAAGTAAACTATAACAAGAGAAAGTAATATATATATTTTATTGAGTTATTTTATACAATTTATTTAATCAATAAAAAAATGAGAGGCAATCAAAAATAATAATAATAAGTTCCAATACCAACTTATCCATTTCCTTATTCATTTTGGTCATATAATAATTTTGAAACTAAAGAGTTAGAAACTTACCTCTCTTCCTAATCCCAAACTTTATAAACATAAATTCCAAAAACATGCATTTAAGATGGATATTAATAATTATGTAAAATCTTAAATTAATATCCTCATCCTTTACTACATGCCAAACAATCCAAATAATAACAACCAATTACTAATTTACTTGGTGAATAATCAATTGATAGCATTAAAAATACTTCAGAAATTACATAATTTTTGGTATTTCAAAATACTCAAATTGATGCAATCACATTAACTTTACTTTAATTTTTATGGCCATTTTATTAAAATCTAAATGTCTTTAAATTATACAATATTAAATTTTCTGAAACTGAAATGGAAATTTTATAAAAAATAATTGAAAATAACAAACTTATTAAATTATTTATAGAATATACTAATATAATACCTCAAATAAATTGTCCAACACTTACATAAATATATTTAAGAGGAAATTAAATAACTTAATCAAAATTAAATCAAATATTTTAACCAGGCACTTTTTAAGCTTTATAAGTTATAGAGTTAAGTGATAATCCTCTTGGAAAAGATTGTATATAATTTAAATTTATTATAGCTATTTAAATCTTGGCTAATTTTATGAGTAAAAAGAATAGTATTTAGTATATTGGATTATCAAGATGTGAAATAGCAGCTTGGGAGGATTTAAAACCTCTTATAGAAACTATAGGACCTGAAAAATTAAATGAAGCAAAATTATAGGCTTATAGAGAATTAGAAGAAAAGAGGGATAAACAAATTAAAGATTAATTAAAAGCAAAAAAGAAAGAAGTTGTTACTGAGATTGAATTAGAACCATTAATATAAAATACAGATGGAAGTAATATTCATTATTTAAAAATATATAGGTTATTCAATTATACATAATTAATAATTACAAATTCTATTTTTAGCTGTTAATCCATTCAAAGATAGTGATAAAGATTAAATTGAAAGATTTATTTAAGCAAATCCAAATGTTTATGTTGTGTTACAAGGATGTTCATTTGAAACTAAGACAAAAGAGAGACTCAAAAAACGCTATAATAATATAATATTTTGATTTATATAATTATTGTAATTATATATATTTATATATTACTGGTATGCATCACAAATATATAATTTATTAGTTTAAATATTTATTATATTTTTGATATTTTATATTTATTAACTCACATCAATCTTTAATTTAAAAGTAATACTTATAGATAATATTTATATATTCATTCAAAGATTTATTTCAAATATGATTATAAATTTTATATTAGAAATTAAGCAAATTAAATAAAATTTAGTTAGATTTTTGTTCAATGATTAAGATTGTCATTTATGAAAGAATTTTTTGTTTTTGATTTGCCAATATTATAATACAAATAGAAATTATTAATTGGATAACAAATATCTTAATAATTAAATTGAAGTTCTTGGTAAGATTGGAGAAAATGTATATAAATTAATCATCATAATTTAAAGAACTTGAATTTCAGTTAAATATTATCTGATAAAAAAGATATCTATTTAATAATACTTAATGAGACAATAAATCAAGTGTTTCTTCAGAATAGAATTTTTACAGAATCATTAAATTTCCAAGAGTTAATCTTTTTTTTAAGATATCCATCAATACATTATTAAGTTTTTGATTACGAAACTAATTGTTTAATGACATTATTAGATATATTTGTATTTAGTTTCCTTGGTTTATGTCCTTCAACTTTTTGAATAGAACGAAGTTATTTATTTTTTGATAATGATCTGCTAGTTGGTTTTATTTTCTTTTGATTTGAATGTTCAGGAATTTCATAAACAATGTATTTACTTTTATTCATACTAACATAAGGACGTTTTTTGGTTTTTTATACAGGTGCTGAGTTATTTCTTTAAACTTAATAATTTTTTAGATTCTAGTCTCTAAATGTTGGAGATTCTAAAACAAAATCTATTGAATTCTCTTATTTAGTTTTTAATACATCATCTTAAACAGGAGAGTTGATAATGTATTCTTTTTAAAAAAACTCATCTTCAAAAGAATCCAAATTAAGTTTCATATCGTATGTAAATTATTCAAGTAAATGTTATTTCTAAGGAGTCATCAAGGGATATCCTCCCTTTAATATTAAGAATTGATTTTCTTTGTTTTTAATGCATTTATTACCCATTAAATTATATTTTTACTAAGAATCTTTAAGTATTTTTTAAATTATTTGGTAAATATAGCATTTTATATGAATTATAATTTAATTTAATAGTTTATTTGGTATATAAATTATTTATTAATTTTATAGATTACAATGAAATCAGGAAACAAATGTCTTTATTATTGCAAACAATTTTTTAATCTTCTATTAGGAGTGAGTGGCCTCATCATGATAGCTATAGCAATTTACATTTGGGTCGTAGCTAAAATATTCTCAGTTATAGTTATGAGTATATTGATATTAGGTGGAATTCAATTATTTCTATCTTTAATATGTATAATTAAGTTATTCTATTTTATTTAGCTTTGGGTACTAAGAAAGCAATGTTTAGAATCAAAGTTTATAACTTTTTCTTAGGATTGATACTATTGGGATAAATCACAATTACAATATTAGCATTTGTGTTAGAAGATACATTTATTGATAAGGGTATAGAATGATCTAAGAATATAGCAATTGAAAAACTTGATGAACCATAGGAGACAGCTGATGCTTTAAAGGAATAATTAAAAGAATAATATACAAGGTCCATTTTAATTACACTAACAAGTTTAGGAATTTAAATCATGTGTTTTTTATTTAGTGTTTGGTATAGGGATTCACTTGAAAATGCAAATGATAATAGCAAACTTTTATATGATGAAAAAGAAAAGTATAATGAATATAGATTTATATAGAAAATATATGAGTTTTGAAGAATATTCTTAAAAATAATAAGCATAAGTTAAAGAGAAATCAAACAATAATAGAAATGAAGTATATTCAAGAAATCCTGAATTTTATGAATGGAAACAATAATAACAAGGCAAGAAATGATTTATTAAATGATTTAACATCATTCATTTTTTCAATTATATTATCTATAAATAAGCTTGTTAAAAACTAATACTTATCTCAATATTAAAAATAAGATATCAATCATAATTCATATAGATAATGATAAAGAATTATTATATACAATATAAAG